CGCTCCCACCGCCACCACCACCACCACCTCCGCCTCCACCGCCGCCACTAGTACCTCCACTCCCGCCACCACCTCCACTGCCACCCCCACTCCCCCCGCCGCCTCCACCGCCTCCGCCACCGCCCCCGCTAGCTCCACCCGCTCCGTTGCCCCCTTTGCCCCTGCCAGGGCGGCGCCTACCGCTGGGGGCAGACGCCGCACCGACCGACTCCAAACCAACGAGGTCGGCCGCAGCAGCAGAGGCGACAGAGGGAAGTAGGGGGGAAGGAGAACACCCCTCAAAGATGGGGGTGCGAGGGTCACCACGATAGGCTCCTACAGCGACGATACTCTTCTCAGCCGCTAGCAGGGACTTCTCAAGGAGGTCGACAGTGAGGGTGGTGGGACAGACAGAGAGAAACTGGTCCCTAACGGCACGAAGGGACTCAGGGAGACGGGTGACTAGAAAGTAGAGAGTGATGTACATGGGAGGAGGGTTTGCGGCGCGGAACTCAGAAGGAAGCGCAGCGCGATAGCGAGTGTCACTAGCGCGGAGGTGGGTAAAGAGGTCAGCGACTGTTGGAAAGGCAGCGAGGTCAGGGAAGAGGAACGGTAGCATGAGGCGGCTCAGCGTAGCGGAGGAAGGGGAGGAGTAGCGCGCAACTACAGCGTCGTACAAGGCCTGAGCGGTCTTGCACTGACTAAAGTGTGCACGCTCGGAGGAAGGGAGGTGGCGACGCACAGCAAGACGTGCAGCAGCATCGCGCGTGGCCCACTTGGAGCGAACAGAGGGGTCAGCATAAGCAGGAGGGGCAGGGACAGCGCCAGAGACAAAGTCAAAGAGAGAAACCTCATCGATCGCATCGCACAGTAAGTACAGCTGCAGGTCCTCGACCCAAACTGCAAAGTCAATGGCGCGACCCTCAGCGTCAAAAGACAGGACACTGGGGGTGGCCATTATAGCAGCTGACAGTCTCACCGGGCGGGAAGAGTCGGGTAGCTCAGGAGTACAGCCACACAGCAGCACAGCAGCTACGGCGGCCCAGGAGCAGCAGCAGCCCCACAGGAACAGGAGGCCGACACCTCGGGCTGCTCGGGCGGCTCGGGCGGCTCGGGCGACTCGGGCGGCTCGGGCGGCTCGGGCGGCTCGGGCGGCTCGGGCGGCTCGGGCGGCGCGGGCGTATTGCGGGCGACAGCACGGGCGGCTGGGGCGCCTCGCGGGTGGCTCACGGGCGGCTGGGGCGGCTCGCGGGCGGCGCACGGGCGGCTTACAGGTGGCTGGGGCGGCTGCACGGGCGGCTCGAGGGCGGCGTCGGCTGCTCACGGGCGGCGTCGGCGGCGACGGCGGCGTCAGCGGCTCACGAGCGGCGTCGGTGGCTCACGGGTGACGTCGGCGGCGTCGGCGACGTCGGCGTCGTGGGCGGCTCACGGGCGGGCGGCTCACGGGCGGGCGGCTCACGGGCGAGCGGCTCACGGGCGGCGGCTCACGGGCGGCGGCTCACGGGCGGCGGCGTCACGGGCGGCGGCGCACCAGCGGCGGTTGACGGGCGGCTGCGCTGACGGGCGGCGCTCACGGGCGGTGCTCACGGGCGGCGCTCACGGGCGGCGGCGCACGGGCGGCAGCGCACGGACAGGCCGCGGGCGGCGAACGGGCGCTAGGGCGGGCGCCGGGCGCTAGGGCAGGCGCTAGGGCGGGCGCTAAGGCGGCCGCTAGGGCGGGCGCTAGGGCGCTAGGGCGGGCGCTAGGGTAGGCGCTAGGGCGCAAGGCGCTAGGGCAGAAAAAAAAATTCTAAGTGGTGGGCCCTAAGCACAGTTCCCACAGGGGAACCTGCTCTGATTCCATGAGAAGAAGCGAACGAGAATGGATGAACTATGAATGAAGTGAGTACAAATATGAAACCCTAATTGGGTTGTACCCCCTATGGGATACCCCACTATAGCCTACACAAATAAGTAAGCTATAATGTTCTGACAAATATATGTGTCAAGGCGAATCTGGAATGTCAGGGCGTTTTCGCTGTGATTGGGCGAAGATTGTTGTACTTTGACAGCGCAAATCTGTTGTGTCAGGGCGATTTTCCTATGATTGGGCGAAAATATAGTGCTGTAAGACTCGGATTTGCTGTGTCAGTGCAAATCTGCTATGACCCGTAAGTCCGAATCACCAGTGAAGGACGCGTTTGTACTCTGAATTATCAGAGTACACTCCCAGAAAACTCCGAACTCTCCGAGTTAGCCTTGAAAAAAGTCTGAAAATTACTGAGTTGAGGCCCAAAAAAGTCTGATTTTAGCAGACAACACTGGAAAAAAAATATAAAATATCAGAGAAAAAATATCAAATCAGAGAAAAAAGTACCGTCATACCCCGGATATAAGCGCCACCCTCGGATAAGCGCCTTGTCAGAATGTTATTATTCTCTAGCCTGCAGTGGGGTACTCTATAGCGAGTACAACCCCTTAGGGTTTCCTATATGTATCCTGCTGCTTTCTAGTGAACCCCCTCCTTTCTTCAATTCTCGCTTGCCTAGCTAGGGTTCTCCTAGCTATGGCTCCTCATTCCTCGCCTCTATCTCAACATGCTATCAGAGCGGTTACGTTCTTGGCCTGTGGGCCCCACTACTGCTTCCGCTGCTACTGCTACTCTGTCTGCTGCACGCCCCGTGGCGTGCGAAATTTTTTCCTGGGTTTTCAGCCCGCCGTGCGCCCCGAGGCGCGCGGCGGTTTTCTGCCCGCCGTGCGCCCCGAGGCGCGCGGCGGGTTTCTGCCCCGTCACTCGACGCGTCGCCCCCGGGAGGCGCTGCGACGGGCGACGGGGACCCGCGCGTCGCCCCCCGTCGCCCGTCGTGGCCTGCGCGCGGCCCGTACGGGCTGCGCCAAGCCCGCGCGCGGCCCGTACGGGACGCGCCAGGCCCGCGCGCGGCTCGGGCCGCCTGCGCGCGGTTCGGGCGGCTGTGCCAGGCCCGTGGGCGGCCCGTTCCTCGCTGCCCCTGCCCTCCCCACTGTCCCCCGTGCTTCTACTGGCGCCCCACCCCTCCTACAGCCCGTTCTCCTGGATTAGGGTTTGGGGGTGGCGACTATGGGGGTGTCGGCTGTGACTTCCTCCACCTGCTCCTCCTCCTCTTCAGGCTCCCACTGCTGCAGCTGCCGCTGAGGGGGGTGGATGTGGGAGTGGAGCCGTCGGAGTGGTACTTGGGGGGTGACGGGGGAGTGGAGCTAGGGTGAAGCAGTGGGTCTGTGGGGGGTGTGTGGGACAGTTTCGGGAGGTTGAGCGGAGGCTGCCGTCTTGTCGTCAGCAGCACCTGTAGTCCGGGGCGCTGTCCCGGTAGCCCAGTGAGCTCGTCGCTGCGCCAGTCGCCTGTGGGTCCGTAGCTCCTGCCGCTCGTCTTAGCCGCGGAGCCAGTTACTCCTGTAGTCCGGGGCGCTGTCCCGGTAGCCACTGTGCTCGCCACTCCTGTTGCCCGTGTGTCTGCAGCTTCAGCAGCCGCCTCCTATCTCCTCTCCTCTCACAGTCCCTCCTCCTCCTCACTTGCCCGCTATGTTAGCCTCTAGCTTTACTTATATTTCTGAACTACTTCTATGCTTGCTTGCTGTGCTGATTACACCCCACTTTGGCTAGGGGGGTGTGTCAGAATGTTATTGTTCTCTAGCCTACAGTGGGGTACTCTATAGCGAGTACAACCCCTTAGGGTTTCCTATATGTATCCTGCTGCTTTCTAGTGAACCCCCTCCTTTCTTCAATTCTCGCTTGCCTAGCTAGGGTTCTCCTAGCTATGGCTCCTCATTCCTCGCCTCTATCTCAACACGCCTGGCGCTTTTAATTGGCGTGTGGCGCTTATATCCCCTGCTCGATTATAAGCGCACCCCCTGAAAAAAATTGTTTTATTATAAGCGCACGTAAACTTATTTTTTTGAAATGTGTTCAAAACGCTTTAACGATTCCTGCTTTAGCAGGCAGATGTTTTGCAGATTCGGTTCCCTTCACATTCGGACCCTGCACTGGATTCGGGTCCAGTCAGCAAGAGCTGTCATGAGCTGTCAGGAGCTGGATGTGAGTCAGATTGGGTGTACATCCCTGCTCGCGCGAGAATTTCACAGACGACCCCATGTAACTTCGTCTCGATTGAAAAGGCAAGCACGAGATCTACAGTATGGTGTTCAAAAATATATAAAAACATATATGTCATTTTATAAACGCCGGCCCTAAAAAATTTACTCGATTATAAGCCCACCCCCCTAAAAAAACCTGCTTTATTATTGCCCCCCATGGGGGTATATCCGGGGTATGACGGTATGACTTCTGAGGGCCTGCTCGCGAGCCGCTTACATGCTCGCATTGTGCGATGTTTGCCTTCTGGGCTTTCAACCTCTGTTCTTTCTCTTCTCCCCCTACCTCTGGTATAAAGCCACTCCCTTGGCCTCTTCATGGTTACCTCTCCTAGCCCGCCAACTAGGATGTTGCTGTTGCGCAAAGGGTGGCGGTCTTTCGGTGTGGGTGTGGGAGCCGCTGAATTTCAGCCTTACAAAACACCAGTTACGGACTAACAAACGCTAGACTCGCTACATGTTTATTCATCTTGAACTAAAATGGCTCACAACATACCGTACATCAAGAGACACAGCAAGTAGCAGAAATATAAAGAGGGTATGATCTTTCTACAATGAAATCCAAGCGCCCAGAAGCACACGTGGCAGGCACATAGGTACCACAGAGAATTTGACAAAGCTGAAGCCCTGGCAAGTGTTCTGGATCTCACACACTTGCAGCAGTGCAGCAACAAGCAGGCCATATGGCATCCTTCACTTGCAAGAACTTCAACCCGTGTACGCAGCTTGGGTTGATAATAGCAGCATGCACTGTTTATCCAGTGCATGTCACACCCTTGGCGAGCTAGTGCAGCTCCGACAGGCCATGCTGGGATGATCCTTTTGGAAAGAACAATCCCATCACATGCCATCAGATACCAAAAGCAAGCCGGTAGTACGGGTTACAGCCGAGGTACCTGAGAGCCATACTATAGACATTACCCGAGGCCAAGACTGAGCTCTAGATCATCTGAGCGCATTACAGGCGGAGGCTTCATGGGAGCCTCTACATCCCAGCTTGTCGCCATGCGACGCACCCCAGCCAACAACTTGCTGTCCTCCCCTCCCGCGGATTTGAACTCAACCGTTCGTTGAGGTCCGAGGGTCCCGCCACGTGTTGCGCTTCCGCACTGTGGGCTGATGCTGTTGTGTGGGCCGCCGCTGAAGTTGCCACTCCTGGAATGAGCGGGCATGGAACGATCGGGAGGAGGAGCAGCGGCGGGAGGGAGAGAGGAAGATGCGGAAGACTGGACGACGTTGGAAGCGCCTTGAAGCAGACCGAGCAGCAACTGCTGCTGTTGGTGCTGCTGCTGCTGCTGGTGCTGTTGCTGATGAGAGAAAGCTAGCTGTTGCTGAAGTTGCTGCTGATGCTGCTGCGGCTGATATTGTGGCTGATGCTGCTGTTGCTGCAGCGGATGCAGCGGAACCACGGGATTGGCTACCTGGGCAGGAGCCATCGGTCTTGGGATTGCCGAGGACGGTGCGGCAGCGCTACGAGACGACTGCAGCAGAGAGTAGAGATCCGACGGCACGGCGGAAGAAGCGGGAGCAGGCGGTCGATTACCAGGCAGCGACTGATCCCCGTTATTAGCACCTCCTTTAGCGAGCAACATCAGCACCTGCTGCACGTCCGACGACGAGGCGAACGACGGAGGGAGGCCGAGCGACGACGCAACGGCCGCAAGGGACGCGGCGGAAGAGTTCAGCGCTGCGCCCAGCTGCGCCGCCGCCGCGGGGAAAGCGGCGAGCGCGGACATGAGCTTCAGCAGCTCCGCTGCTGGCGGCGCTGCCGCTCCACCAGCCAACGCAGTTCCGCCAGTCTGGATAGTTCCACTCGAGCTTCCTCCTCCGGGCGCAGGTCTATTTTCAACGATCGGAGCGGCGGCGGCGGCGGTGCCAACGGCAGCCAGTCCGGCATCTCGACAATGCATCGTGACGCCAACGCCGTTCACAGGGCCGCGGCCGTGGTCGGTGCTTCCCGCATTAGACGCTGGATGGTCGTAGTCGGGACTATCGAGGCCGTTGACATTCGACGAGGGGTACGGATGCACAGCGCTGTCCGTAGGGTACGCGGAGTCGATTCCTGCTGACGGCTCGGGCTGCTGGGGTCGAGGCTGACCCTGAAACGCGGAGTCGAACACGTACAAGTAAAAAAAGAGGAATGCATAAGATAAGTCAGCATAGATTAACGGTAAAACGACGCACGAAAATATGAATAATAGGCAACCTGATAAGATTAAGCACCCTGATAAGATTAAGCACGCGGATTAGAGACAGAAGGAAAACGATGAGTGCATCGGCGCGGCGCGGCGCGGATAAGGGTGTACCTTTCGGTAAGTCGTGCCGTCCTCCTCGACAATCCAGCCGGCCTCTTTGCACACTGCCTTGAGCACCTCGTTGTTGTCGCAATGTTTCGGCAAATCGTAGTTTCCGTAGGTGCGCAGCCCGGTGAAGATCTTTGCTGCTATGGCGCGTCGTCTCCTCTCCCTTCGTTTGTTATTCTCCCGCTCCTTCCACGTCGGCAAGCGTTGAGCCGTCGAGCCACGATTCGATGCAATCTGCCGATTGTTGTCGCGATGGAATTGCTTCGAATCCTCCTCCAGGTCGTCCGCATAACTCGTAGCCAGATCCATGGTCGAAACCCTAACAAAGCTACAAAACGTCAGATAGTCCTAAACCGACCAGAAATAGAAGCGCCAGGAACTACCAACGACAGGAAGTAAGCACACTAGGAAATGAATGGCCGAAGAGAACGAATAAGAAAATCAGTTGGTGGTACTCTATTTGGTGCGTTTGGATGTGGAGGGGAAAAGACTACACGTAAATGGTTGGGTAGAAGGGAGGTGAGATGTTGACAGGGCAGCATAAGGGGGCACCTCCGCTAGCTGGTGGTGGTGATTACATCTGCATTCATCCCCTGGTGTACACCCTCTTTCTCGCCACACTGTCATTTGCCATATTAACGGCCTGGCTGTACTGACATCAATGCGTCCAGAATGATCCCAGAACATACCATGTATGCACATTTTCCCGCACTCAACCGTACGCTAAGGCAAGTTTTATTTTATATACCGTCGTGTACCGTTCTACTGGAGTGCATTCGTCCGCCACCTACCTGGGGTTCGGTTGCAAGCACCAGATTGCTAGTGTCCAAGCGGCACTACGCACTGTAGCAAGTGCTTCCCATTGTCAGTCTGGCGAGAAAAAGGGTGTAGTACGTACGTGTGGCATCTCTGGAACCGAGGGTTACGTTGGGGTGGGGCTGAAATCATCCTGCGCCGGAAGCGAAGGGGAGATCTAATCCTTATCCGCCAGGTTCTGTTCACCGCATCCCGTCACTCGTCCGTGACATCCTCGGGAAGGTCGGGGCTATGCGCAGATTGGGTTGCGCGCGCAACCAAACTGAACTCCCCTCAGATTTTCAAGTTGGATTCAGACTTGTCGCACGGAGGCTCCGCTCCGCCCTAGCGCAAAAGACAATGGCGACATGCTCAACTTGGTGGAAATCGAACTTTGATCGCAGGCGCTCGTGCAGGTGGAGGTGGATATGGCGAAAGGACGATGACTGACGAATGGAGTGTTGGGGTGGGGGCACCCCGTACGTGGTGAGTAACCGTGTGGTCCGGCCCAGTCTGGTTTTTTCTGCGCTGGTAGTCGTCGTCCAAAGTAAGGCGGGGAGTGTTAGGGGGAGAACTGGGTGCGAAGTGAGGGGGGAAAGGAGGCGCTTGGTGCGCCATAGCGCATCATTTGCGCGCAGTACGCTTTGCAGGGAAGCAAGCTGCCAACCAATAGGGAATACTGGAGGTGCACGCATGGTCGAACGGGCAGTCTCCCGCACGAACCCTTCCCCTAAAAGTCACGTCACGACGACACAGCAGGGTGCAGTTCGTGCGAAGGCTCACACGGCTCACGAATGGTAAGGAGCCACACGTGCCACGCATGCATGGCGTACAACTGGATCCTGCTGCCAATTATGCATGGATGCTGTGGCTGGCTAAAGTGGGCAGCACTTCAACACCAGCGAAACCTTTTTATATAAAATAATTCGTAATAAGGAGGATGTAAATTATACATAATAAAAGTGGGAAAATGAGTTTCTGTACAGAAGTTACAAAATTCGAGAGATTGCTCGGAACTGTAGGCTCAAGATTCGATCCGATTCTCAATACGAAAAATGATATGAACAGAACGTTGAAACATGGGAAGAAGCAACATGGAAAGTACGGAAAATACGAGTGACATCACCTCTCCGTGGGGGACTTTTCCCCCAACATTCACCTCCCCCGAAAGGCCACTGGGCACATGGCTCTTGATGGGGGGATTGGCTTGGAGGAGGCAGCCACTCAAGCGTATACAGTAAAACTGCACGACAAAATATTCTTAAAGACTCCGGAATACAGTATCAATCTGCGAAAAGATTGCGTTCAAACCTGCGCACGTTATCAAGAGTATCAGAACACGACATGGTAAAGCACACTTGAAGCTAACAAAACCATTTGGGCAGTTTGGACCAACCGACCCGAGGCTGCTTCATATGCCACCACCGCGCTCGATGCCTCCCCGTCTCATCGAACACACTGTCTCTCGACTTCGTTTCCTTGCACCACAAACAACTGCAAATACAGCGCGGGCCACCCAAATAGCCCAGGTTCAATCCAAAAGGTCATATTTTTGTGATACTACCTGGGGGATGTCAGTGTAACCGCCCGGAAAACAAACTGCCCTTGAAAATAAGGCATCAGGTGAAATGTAACTGTCCGGCACAGCAGCCTCTCCTCAACTGTCACCTCACCATCACCACATGTCAACGGCTCCGCGTGCCAGATTACAGTACATTGATTTGATACGGAGGTCAGGTTTATGGGGCAACAATGAGCTGTGGAGTCTTGAAGGTAGGCGCAAGGGCGTGTAACTTTGCTCCGACCAAACGAAATGGTCGACCATATGGGCGGTTCTGACGTTAGCGAAGTTTGTAGGGTTACCCAAACAGTTTGTAGTCACCCTGACTTGACAGAAATCGGATGGTACTCTTTCGTATGAACCTGCCCACCAAGCTAGTAGGGACCGCCACTTAGGAGGAGTTCAATGTTTGACATTCGGTTTTCGCCCCCGAACGTGTTTTGAGACCACCGTTATTTTGCTGAACAATCTGATCCCGCGCCTACTATTTTCCACACCCAGTTCGATGCTGGAACTGGGATCAAACCTTTTCCGACTAATTTCGAGGGTGGTTTAGGGTGGTTGTTCCTTGTCTTGGCGAACAGAATGGCTGTTGTGCTCGACATGTTTGGCGGGGGTCGTCGAATCGTTACACGTTTTGCTTTCGCCAGATCCGGCCATTTGGTCGGATTTTGGGCTTGGTCGAAGTAAAGTTACACGCCCTAAGGCCAAACGACTGGGAAGCGAACCAGATGGTAATTACAGTGCTCTTCGGTGCTTCTCTATTTCATTATAGCACTCTCCTTTGTATAGTTCTGCTATCACTGGTTATTTGTTGTGAGCGAACTTGAGTGTCCAGGGGCAAATGTCTACCAGCACTGTAATGATCCACTTACCTGTGTACCCAACAAAACCAATCCCAAGCCTGTCCAAGAATGGGTGCATGGGTAATTAATCATTCACAAACCCTCATCTGCGTGTCCCAGAATCAGTAGCCTTAATGCTTGCAGGGATATCATTTGTGAAGAGAAAGCATCAACCTCCAACTCGGAAATAACTTCCATATTTTTTGCTTCACTTTCAAGTAAAGCTGCACCAGTACCTCCTTGCCACAAGAAAGGGGTGCACATCTTACATCTAGGACTGCATAACGAATTTTGCTGTCCACAGACAACAATCCATTGTGTTTCAATCAGTGTATCAATTGCTTTGCACGCCTTTTGCCGCCCTTCCTACGCCCAACCCCCCTCACAGCACGCGGCAAAGTTTTGACCATGTAAGGCCCCTCAAGCTCATATCCGAGCTTCCTGTAGTAGTGGCGCGTCCCTATGCCCGAAATCACTGCCAGCTTCCTCGATCCATGCTCCCACCGCGCAATGCGCTCTGCTTCCTCCATCAGCAGCGTGCCGTACCCCTGCAACCACAAAGTACCGCAGTGCACCGCAGCCAAACCAAACCAGACGAAAGAGGAGATTTCAGCACAAGAAACAACGCCCTTTTTTGTTTGTAAGGTCAATTTGCAACCGTGACCACCATAAGAATAAACGCAGGAGTGTACCTACCCACCAGCATGTGCCTCATCCTATCCACTTGCCTGGTGCTGAAGCTTGTCGGTGTCGCGGGTGTGCACGGGCACAGCGGTGCCATACACATGTAGCTCTCGCAGGAAGGAGGATTTTTTCGATGTTCAAAGGTGACTCCGAGATAGCCGATCTAACCTGGTGCTGCAGCTTGTCGGTGTCGCGGGTGTGCACGGGCACAGCGGTGCCATACACATGTAGCTCTCGCAGGAAGGAGGATTTTTTCGATGCTCAAAGGTGACTCCGAGATAGCCGATCTAACCTGGTGCTGCAGCTTGTCGGTGTCGCGGGTGTGCACGGGCACAGCGGTGCCATACACATGTATCTCTCGCAGGAAGGAGGATTTTTTCGATGCTCAAAGGTGACTCCGAGATAGCCGATCTAACCTGGTGCTGCAGCTTGTCGGTGTCGCGGGTGTGCACGGGCACAGCGGTGCCATACACATGCAGCTCTCGCACTATGGAGCACCGCCCTTTAAGCTCCGGGCACGTCACGTGTGCCCCACACCTCCTTAACCGCAGCAGCCCCACCAGAATGTCCTGTCGGGACCAAGGAGCGATGCGCACACAGGGAGTTTTTTGAGGCGCAAGGGGAGGGAGGGCATTGGGGTGAATGCCCTGAATGCCCGCCTCCCTCGTGCGCACATCGCGGCGCCGCAGCCCCAGCTCTGCCATGCGTGAACAATAGGTTACCGACTCTCTCTAACCAGGTTACCGCATGGTAAACACCTCGGATAAAACTTACTGTCTCACCTGCGTCACATCTTCATAAGACAGGAACGTCTCCCATCCATCATTCGCAGCATAGTCCCGCCGCACGAGCTGCACGTCGTGCGGCCTCACAGCGTGGTGAATGTCCTGAATGCCCGCCTCCCGCGTGCGCACATCCCGGCACCGCAGCCCCAGCTCTGCCATGCGCGCCAGCGCCAGCTCGCGCAGGTTGCCCTTGTCGATTCCCGATGTGACCAGTGGCAGCGGGATGTCTCGCATTATGCGGTACACGCGCGTCCAGGGAGGGACCAGGGCCAGGATGCGTGCGACTAAATCGATTAATTTCTCCGGTGGGTAGTTGCGATACCTGGGAAGGGGTAGGAGTGAGGAGGAAGGAGGGCAAGATTGTTGAGTCAACAAAGCAGCCCCAACTCTGCCATGCGTGCCAGTGCCAGCTCGGGCAGGTTGCCCTTGTCTATTCCCGACGTCACCAGTGGCAGCGGGATGTCGCGCATGATGCGGTACACACGCGTCCAGGGAGGGACCAGGGCCAGGATGCGCGCGACTAGCTCGATGAGTTTTTCAGGAGGGTAGTTGCGGTACCTGGGAGGGGGGAAGGCAGGGTGGACGAGGGCAGCAGAGGGAGAGTACGGGGATGGGGAGGGAGGGGGAGCAGCGGGATGTGGCGCATGATGCGGTAGACACGCGTCCAGGGGGACGCCACGGCCAGGAAGCGAGCTACTAGATCGATTAAGTTCTCTGGTGGGCAGTCGCGATACCTGGGGGGAAGGAGAGAAGGAGGGAGGAAGGTAGGGGCACGAGGGGAGAGAGGCAGCAGCAGACACACATGATGCAGTAGACATGAGCGCCGGGGGGCATGAGGGCCAGTGTGGGGTAGAGAGATTCAGCCCATCGGTGAAAAGGGCAGAGCTGATGTGGTAACCCTCACCTGCCGGTCTTCCAGAGCTCGTAGAGGCCGGTGCCACGGATGACGAGCGTGGGGTAGAGCTTCAGCCCGTCCGTGCAGAAAGCGGGGCTGGTATGGAGACCCCCCATCTCCCCCCCCCCCCTCTCCCCCCCTCCTCTCCCCTCCCCTCACCTGCCAGTCTTCCAGAGCTCGTAAAGGCCTGTGCCACGTATGACGAGCGTGGGGTAGAGCTTGAGCCCGTCCGTGCGGAAGGCGGGGCTGTGCATGAACTCGCGGAACGACTCCATGTCCCTCTCCATGCCCACGCTGGGTAGATCCGGCATCATGTGCGCCACCACCTGCGAGAGAGAGAGAGAGAGAGAGAGAGAGAGAGAGAGAGAGAGAGAGAGAGAGAGAGAGAGAGAGAGTGTGTGTGTGTGTGTGTGAGTGAGTGAGTGGGGGGGGGGTGGGATAGAGAGTCATGAGGCATGAACTCCCTGAATGACTCCATGTCCCTCTCCATGTCCCTCTCCATGCCCACGCTGGGTAGATCTGGCATCATGTGTGCCACCACCTGGGGAGGGGAGAAGAGAAGAGTGAGGGAACGGAGAGAAGGTTTCAGATATGGAAGTAGGGTGAGGTATGCAAGGCAAGACTCCATGTCCCTCCCCATGGCCACATTGGGATTCGGTATGTCCTAGTTAGTAGCCAGCACACAACAGGCAGGTAGTACACCTTAAAGCACGCACACACAGCGCACCTTGAAGCCCGCGTCCTTGGCGAGGCAGAAGCAGTCAGCGACGGCTGCAAGAGTGTGACCGCGGTTGGTGGCCCTGGCCTTAAAACCCGCACACCACACAACTTAAAGCCAGCACGCACACGAGAAGGACCTTAAAGCCTGCACGCACACGAGAAGCACCTTAAAGCCAGCACGCACACGAGAAGCACCTTAAAGCCTGCACGCACACGAGAAGCACCTTAAAGCCCGCGTCCTTGGCGAGGCAGAAGCAGTCGGCGACAGCAGCGACGGTGTGGCCGCGGTTGGTGTCCCTGGCCACGTCCTCGTACGTGCTCTGCACTCCGATCTCCAGCCGCGTGCACCCGTATGCTAACATCTGCCGAAGGTGCGGGCCCAGGCAGTAGTCGGGGCGACTGGGGGAGGCAATGGCGGGAGGGAAGGGAGAGCGGCGGGCGGACGGAAGGGTGTGGAATGATTGCAAAGTGGGTGGATCGGGACCAAGGGGGTTGTGGCCGCGGTTGGTGTCCCTGGCAACGTCCACATATGTGCTCTGCTCTCCGATCTCCAGCCGCGTGCACCCGTATGCCAGCATCTGCCGCAGGTGTGGTGTGGGCCCAGGCAGTAGTCTGGTCGGCAGGGGGAGAGGAGAGAGGGGGAAGGGAGAGAGTGGGTTGGGGACAGCAAATGCGTTGAACGTTGGAGAACTGGAATGCTTGTTCAAGGTTGGGCATTTGCGTTTGGCTGGCTGGCTGGCTGGCTGGCTGGCTGACTGGGTGGCTGACTGGGTGGCTGGCTGACTGGGTGGCTGGCTGACTGGGTGGCTGCTTCTAAGCATTGCTCACGTTTCGATGGTGAGGCCGATGCAGCGTGTGGCGGCGTGCTCGGCATACTGCACCGCCTCGGCTACAGACGCGGAGGAGCGGCCTGAGAGCGCGTCGTGCAGATTGCGCACGAAGAAGTCGCGGTAGTCCGCCGGGAGGGACATGAACGTGCCGCCCATAAGGATGTACTCCACCTGATGATGGAGAGAAAGTGGTGGGGAGAGGTTGTTGTGATTACAGAGAGCGTGGTGTGACTGCAGAGAGGGCGCTGTGCAGATTGCGCACAAAGATGTCGCGATAGTCCGCTGGCCGTACCTTATCCACACTGTGTCCGAGTCGCCTCAGCTGGTCGACCCGACCGCGCGCCTGAACGTACGGATGGTACCTCGCCCGAATCGCGCGCATACTCGTCGGCTCATACCCGGTATAAGACTGCGTCGAATATTCGAAATCGGAATCGGGTCCGCCAGGGCAGTACACGCAGATATTTCCCGTCGTGGCTATATGCGGGCATCTATGCGGTTTCGACATGACGGCGACGACAGCGATACCCGAGGCCGTGCGAACGGGCTTCGCGCGGAGCCTTGGGATCAGCGCGTCGCGGTGCTCCTCGGGAACCGCGGCGATGATCTCGACGAGCTTCGGAGCGCGTGACAGCCCGTGCTTTCGCGACGCGTCGGATTTGATCGCGTTCAAATTGACGTCGCGACCCGCGCGCACGCCGTCGATCATCGCCCGCACGATCTCGGAAATCGCGCGCACGCGAGATTCTTCCGGGGACGCGGACAGAACGACACCGCCGCGCCCCGGCGTGGGCTTCTTTCCGCCGACGGCGGAAGGGTCCGCGGAAGCGGTGGCTCCGCCACCCCCGCCGAACTCGGATAACGCCCCCATGGAGACGAACGCCTAATCAAGATGACGTTTCAGTCGATTGGGCTCAGAACTAGTTAGAAATACTACGTTCGAGAAACGGTCGGACAAACTAGTTTATACAAGAATACTAACGCAGCTAGAGCTATGCGTCGGGGTATCTCCAAAAGCATATGTTCATACGGGACAGGGCGGCAACACCTCGCAACTCGAATAAAGGCGAGACCCGCTAAAAGTGTCGAGCTCATCCACTATTTACAGAAGTGTACAAGGAGTTTTTTACACAATAACGTAAAGAATAATAGGTGCATCGCTCTCCCTGCAAGGACACCGTCCGTTTGCACGAGTCTAATTGGTAGTAATGGGACGATGCAAGAAACGCGGTAACCCTTTCTGGTGTGAAGCTCTTTCGCTCCCTCCCTGTAAACCCAATGAGCAGCTGACACGTCTTGATACTGCCGAGGATGCTCAACCATTTTTGAGAAGAATATTCTTTCATAATTCTCATCTCAACCTGCAACAAAGGGGCACACACAAACACATATTATTAAGAGAAAAAAACAGGAAATTGAGCACCTACCGTTAAGTACAATGAAAACAAAAAAAATATTGAAAAACCAAGCTACACTCACCCTGACGGCACTGAAAGGCCGGGTAGTTGTCGCGCTTGCATTGGCGGATTGAGGGGACGCCAGCCAATCGGCATTCCTGAATCCCACGCGCACCTTGCCGTAGCGCCTGAAGAGATGCCGCTCCCAGCTCTGGCTGGCCTTGCTGTTTGTCACCGATATGAACGTGCTGCTCCGGTCCAGGTCCCACCACACACGACACACACCCACACATGCATTCATGGTTATGTTTTTTCTTACTCGGAGCAGAATGGTGGGAGTAGTGAATGTTGCGGAGGAGGGTGGTGAAGGTGCTAGAAAGGGTTCTCACCTCCCCAAGTTGACCCCTCACCTCCCCAAGTTGACCCCTCACCTCCCCAAGTTGACCCCTCACCTCCCCCAGTTGGCCCCTCACCTTTTGCTAGTGAGCAAGGAGGTGAAGGTGTTAAATTCTCCGGTCTTGCTGCCCATCAGCTCCACCTCCCCCAGCTGCGCCCGGATGCACACCGCCACCGGGGGAGGCGAGTCCCACGTCACACTCATGGCCTTGAGCTGGCAATGGGATGGCATGGGGTCATGGTGCACGGGTGATGGTGCATAGGTGATGGTGCATAGGTGATGGTGCATAGGTGATGGTGCATAGGTGATGGTGCATAGGTGATGGTGCATAGGTGATGGTGCATAGGGTGGCTGACAGTGCGTGGGTCATGGCGCTTGGGTCATGGTGCATGGGGATAGCATGGCATGGCATGGAATTTCCCTGAGGAGTGCAAGCACTCGTCACTACCACTCGTCATGTATTGACACATGTTCATTGACACATGTTCATTGACACATGTTCATTGACACATGTTCATTGACACATGTTCTTTGACACATGTTCTTTGACACATGTTCTTTGACACATGTTCATTGACACATGGTCATTGACATCTGCATTGTCATGGCTACAAGCTCAATATGGAATTCCCCACCCAAAGCTTCCCCGACTGCCACGGCTGCCATGCAACTCACACAAAACCATGAGAATTCTCAAAACCGACTCAAACACGCACCGCACCTACTCAAACTGCTCCGTGCAATGCACCAGGCTTGCAGCAACTCGCCCAATGTTGCGGCGCTGCCAGCTCAGGGTCTTCCACCCGCGCTGCCGCTCCACGCCCCGGTCGAACTGCCGCTCCCACCCGCCCTCACACGCCTGCTTCTTGAGAATTCGCAATAACCAGCTCACCTTGTTAAACTGTTCCGTGCAATGCACCAGGCTTGCAGCAACTCGCCCAATGTTGCGGCGCTGCCAGCTCAGGGTCTTCCCGCCGCGCTGCCGCTCCACGTCCCGGTCGAACTGCCGCTCCCACCCGCCCTCCCACGCCTGCTTCGCGTCGCACAGCTGCAGCCCGGGAGGCAACGGGTGGCGGTACATGCCGCCCGCCGCGCGCACTGTGTTGATGATTGCCGCCGCCTGATGGGGAGGGGTTGGGGTGAGTGGGTGGATGCTGAGTCAACTGTTGAGTGACTTTCAGGGTTTTTGCGCAGTGTGTTAATCAGAGCCACCGCCTGATGGGGAGGGGTTGGGGTGGGTGGATGCTGAGTCAACTGTTAAGTGGCTGTCCCAGCCCATGCCCCTACTTTCCCATGCTTTCACTGCTTCACTGCACCACCACCCCCTTCCCCTTCCCTCACACGACCCCGATGCTCCACCCCACTCACCTGATCATCAACAGCGCATGGGGAGGAGCAGGGCCGGCACTTGGCGCCGTTCAGCGGCCCGTAGGTCGCAGTCGAGAACATCATGGCAGCACACCCATCGCCCCCTCGGGACCGCCTCCGCGTCACCACACAGAAGTGGAAATGCTTCCGTGCCACCGCCACCCCCCCAGACTCCATCTGCGCCCGAAACGCCTTCTCGGACGTCAGCGCCTTATACCCTGCACTGAACAAGTCTTGTAACGCGGATAAGCGCCTGAGAGCCACTTTGGAGGCCGCCCAGGAGCCAATCCCGAGGCGATCGTTGAGTCCCCCCCAGTCGAATCCGAAGGGGATGGTGTAGGCAGAGGGGTGGAGGGAGGGGAGAAGGGGAGGAGGGGCGGTCCAGTAGCCATCGACTCGTGTGCGGATGACCCAGCGGTAGGAGATGTTGTGTTGCTGCTGGTGGGTGGCGATGAGATCGACACAGCCCTCCACCAGCCGGAAATACTGCAGCAGACCCTGCGAGAGGGGGGAGGGGGGTGTGTGGCGCGAGGGGGGAGAGGGAAGGGAGGTGAAGAGTGGTGTAGGGGGGGAGAGACACTGACTCGGCACGCCACTAACCATCCGCCAAGGAGGGAGGGGGGGCGGTCCAGTAGCCGTCGACTCGTGTGCGGATGACCCAGCGGTAGGAGATGTTGTAGTGCAGTTGGTGGGTGGATATGAGATCGATACAGCCCTCCACGAGACGAAAGTACTGCAGCAGACCCTGGTGGGTTGGATGAAGGCGGAAGATGGGGGGAAAGGGAGTACAAAGAAACCTATGTATTCTCTCTCGTTGAAAACCTGAAGGCGGACGTCGCAATCCGCCATCCCCGGACGGGAGAGGTTTGGATGTGCGACGTGACAGTGACGGACCCCGTTTCTCACCAAGATGAGAACTGCAATAGAGCACCGGGGTGGGCGGCTAGGGCAGCTGCGGACAAGAAGGAGCAGAAATACGCGCGCCGAAATGCGTGGGTGGGCTTTCATGCCCTAGCGGTAGAGACATATGGGTACCCCTCGCCCGGGGTGTTGGCATTCTTGCGGCAGTGCGCGGAGCTGGCGGCCAAGTTGCGATTCAACGCAGCCCCCAACTCCTACGAGGCCGCCAAGCTGCTGACGGAATACCGCCAGCGCTGGAGCGTGTGCCTCCAAAAAGCACAAGCCAACGCCCTCCGCTGCAAGACCAACGAGGCGATAGCAGCGGACGAGCTCGGCATGCGGGCCCCCTTTGCCCCCCTTAGCGAAGGCCAGCTCTACCAGCTAATAGAGCCCTCGTTCGACCTTTAGGGTCGGACGGAGGGGGCGGGAGGGAGTAAGGGAATGAGGTAGTTAGGTAGACCAAGTGTTATGTCTGGGTTTGCATGTGTTTGCATCTTCCCATGTATCTCCCATCAATCAATACCAGGACCATTCGAGAGAAGGAAATGAAGAGTAGATGTGGGAGGGGAGAGAAGCTGTTGAATTGGCCAGACAAGCCCTTACTCTCAACAGTATTCAAGCCCTTGGACAGGCCTTGGTGGGGTACGCAGTATGGCGGTGTTAGTCCGTTCCTCTGCAGGCTCTGGTGCCCATACTGCGTACCCCACGAGGTGACTTTGAGTCGACTCAAAAGATTCCTCTGCAGGCTGTGGTGCCCATACTGCGTACCCCACGAGGTGACTTTGAGTCGACTAAAAAGATTCCTCTGCAGGCCCTGGTGCCCATACTGCCTACCCCACCAGCAACACCGCGTGTCCAACACAGCACTGCCTACTCCATCCATGCACATGCCATGCTGCCCCCACACCACGTGCCCCACCTGGATGCCATGTGGCGAGCCGTTACTGGTGAGCACCGCGCGGTGCTGGTCCGTCACTGCAATGTCCGCACTGGGGAAGATGCGCACCGCTGCTATACTAACTGCCGTGCTCACTGCACTCTGTGTGCTGTTGGTAGCAGCAGCAGCAGCAGCAGCAGCAGAGGAGGCGGTGGTGGCATTGGCAGGGGAGGCGAGCAGCAGCGCCCACAGCTTGCTGGCGCGCTCGTCCAGCGGCGAGTGCAGGAAGAGGTGAGCTGGCGGGTAGCGGCTGATGACGTGGCGCAGGATGGAAGGCCACGTGGCCTCGAATTCCCGAGCGCCGCCCACGAGGCAGATGGCAACCGGGCCGTCATTGGCAGCAGTATCAACACTCGCAGTGTCAACCTGTTTCCCCACGTGCTGCTGCGACTGCTGCTCCTGCGTTAAAAGTTCGTTCGCAGAAGCGTGCGACGCCGAGTCGTTCTGCTTCGCAGGTTTCTGTTCCCGCTTGTCCCACACGTCCCGCCCGTCGCCGCTCTGCTGACCGGCGCTCTGCTCCTTTTGCTGCCCCTGCCGCCCCTGCTCCTGCTCCTTACTCTGTTGCCCATTCTCCTGTTGCTCGTGCTGTGGCTGTGGCGGTTGCCCTTGCTGCGGCAGCACGGAGAGGCTACTTTGCAGCCGTTGAAGCCATGCACGGGAGGTGGCATTGCCGGCTGGGAGAAGAGCGAAGGCGGACGGCGAAGTGAGCAGCGTGAAGTGCGCCGTGGCGAAGTATGCGACGGTCCATGCGACGACGAGTGCGACGAACAGCAGCGCCACGCCCACGCGCGAACCGCCCACCGACGACCCCAGTAGCCGCCTCATTCCGGCAGCTCGCCTAATCATTCAATGTGCAGCCTAAAAGTTTGTAATATGATATTAATAATTTTAACTCACAAGATGAGCATATCAGAGTGGCGCAGCGGAAGCGTGGTGGGCCCATAACCCACAGGTCCCAGGATCGAAACCTGGCTCTGATATTTTCGTTCCCCACCCTGCTACTTTTCCTCTCCCTGTGCCATTTGTATCTCACCACAATTTCGTAACTCGCCCTCTCAGGTCGTTACGTCGACCCCAATCAGCAACCTGGTGCTTGGACTTACCTTGGAGCGCGCGCCGTTTAAAACGTTAAATCCGGCGTACCGCGTTTCACACTCACTTGACTTCTGGTTTACGTTTAGGACTCACCGCGGTCATTACATTTTTATCCAGCCGGCTCCACCGGTGCGGCGCCATGTCGACAATGGACGCGCAGGATGAGCTGGAGGAGGCGGTGAGCCGAATTTACGGCGAGTGGCTTGCGCGAGGCGGCGGCCGCTCCGGCTCTCGGACTCGGTACGCACTGCGCGCCGAGTTTTGGCGCGCACGAATCGCTATGCGCGTCTTACTGCCTTCCGGACCTGGGATGCCCCAATCGTAGCGGCTGAACGTCCTCCGGGAATCTTCTATCTACACTTGCACTGCTTCAATAGTTAGTTTTTCATTCGTTTCACGCTGCTCCCGTCACGCGCTTCTCTCCGCGATTCTCTTGTTTCCTTCTCCCGCAGGGGCGCGGAGGGGGAACAGGCGGCGGGCGGAAGGCGGAAGGAGCGGGGCGGGAGCGGGGGAGAGGGGCTGCGACTGCTACGGGAACGCCACGTGCGATTCTTGTTGAAAGGATTGGACCACCTCTCGAGCAGCTATGCCAGCCTGGATGCCAGGTCAGCATATCACCTTCTGTAGTCTCGAGCAGCTATGCCAGCCTGGATGCCAGGTCAGCATATCAAATTCCGTTTGTCCATTCAAACTTCACAGCGCGCTTGTCCAGCAAGCATCGCTTTCCATGCTCACCCCTCTCCACCAATTTATCTACCATTTATCCCCATCGCCTCCTTCACCTCTGATTGTGTGGTTACCAGTCGAGTGTGGCTGGTGTTTTGGAATGTGCACTCCCTCGCCCTCCTCCAATACCCTTTCAACCCCTCGCCCTTTCCAATCCCTGCTCACCCCTCTCCACCATTCCATCTCCCTTCCTCCTTCCCGCCCCACACCTTCCTCTCTGTGGAGTGTGGTTACCAGTCGGCCATGGCTGGTGTTTTGGATCGTGCACTCCCTCGCCCTCCTCCAACATCCTCCCGAACCTGCCTGCCCTTTCCAATCCCTGCCTCCCTGCTCCCTGCGTCGCACCGTTTTCTCTTGGGTCTGTCGGTTACCAGTCGGCCATGGCTGGTGTTCTGGATCGTGCACTCCCTCGCCCTCCTCGAGCATCCTCTTGACGCCTCTCTTGCTGCTCGGTGCGCCGACACACTGCGCCGCTGCCAGGTGAGCTTCAGGTGCCGCCAGGTGAGCTTCAGGTGCCGCCAAGTGAGCTTCAGGTGCCGCCAGGTGAGCTTCAGGTGCCGCCGCCAGGTGAGCTTCAGGTGCCGTCAGGTTAGCTTCAGGTGCCGCCAGGTGAGCTTCAGGTGCCGCCGCCATTTGAGCTTCAGGTGCCATCAGGTGAGCTTCAGGTGCCGCCAGGTGTGCTTCAGGTGAACTCGGATGGGCTCAGCTCAGGGTGGGAGTTGAGGCGGCATTACAATGGTGAACGGCCCGAGTGCCGTGATCCAGTCAGCCTCACTGATCCACATCTTGTCTATTACTTCACTCATTCGTTCTTCCCTCATTTGGCCCATCCTTCTCTCCTCCCCTCCCCCACAGAATCCAGAGGGCGGCTTTGGAGGTGGGCCTGGGCAGGTGAGAACAGTCTCATGCACTCCCATCCACCCCCTCACATGCACTCCCATCCACCCCCTCACATGCACTCCCATCCACCCCCTCACATGCACTCCCATCCACCCCCTCACATGCACTCCCATCCACCCCCTCACATGCACTCCCATCCACCCCCTCACATGCACTCCCATCCACCCCCTCACATGCACTCCCATCCACCCCCTCACATGCACTCCCATCCACCCCCTCACATGCACTCCCATCCACCCCCTCACATGCACTCCCATCCACCCCCTCACATGCACTCCCATCCACCCCCTCACATGCACTCCCATCCACCCCCTCACATGCACTCCCATCCACCCCCTCACATGCACTCCCATCCACCCCCTCACATGCACTCCCATCCACCCCCTCACATGCACTCCCACCCTCTCACGTGCACCCGCACCCTCTCACGTACATCATTCGTATTGACGCACAAGACTCCTATCAGCAGTCTAGGTCAGAGTCTCCCCGTTCTCTTCCCTGCGTTCTTCACCTTCCTTGCCCCATCCCTTCGTCGTCGTCGTCGTCGTCGTCCTCGTCCTCCTCCTCCTCCTCCTCCTCCTCCTCCTCCTCCTCCTCCTCCTCCTCCTCCTCCTCCTCCTCCTCCTCCTCCTCCTCCTCCTCCTCCTCCTCCTCCTCCTCCTCCTCCTCCTCCTCCTCCTCCTCACAATGGCACCACACCCTTCTGTCTGCTCCTCAGCATTCCTCTCCCCTCATTCCCCCTCTCTCTCCCCCCCCTTCGGTTCCCCGAACCCCGCCCCCAACCCACCTTGTGTGCTGTGCTGTGCGTCCCCTGCACTGCATGCCAAGCAGCTGGCCCACTTAGCCACCACGTATGCAGCTGTGGCAGCGCTGGTGACGGTGGGAGGGGAGGAGGCTCTCTCTGTGGTCAACAGGTGTGCCTGCCTGCGCCCTCACTCCGCCTCTCCACCCTGTTCCCACACTCCTCCTCTCCCACACTCCTCCTCTCCACCCTGCTTCCATACCCCTCGTAGCGTGCTTCCATAGCCCTTCTCTTACGCCTCTGCTCAGTTCGTTCTTTCACCCTTCCCCCCCTCCCTCCTCGTCCTCTTCCCCCCGCCGTCTCTTCCCCTTCTCCTCTTCCTCTTCTCATTTCATTGTTGTCTATCTTTCCTCTTCCCTCCTCTAGCCCTTAACTGTAACTCCCTCCTCTTCCCACATGTCCCTCCTCTTCCCACATGTCCCTCCTCTTCCCACATGTCCCTCCTCTTCCCGCATGTCCCTCCCTCGCACTTACTCTCCTCCGTCTGAGGACTAGGAAATCGATGCTTGCCTTTCTGCGCCGCATGAAGTGCCAATCAGGAGGTTTCAGGTGAGCTGGTTCTCTCTCGAACCATGTCAGAACGGTTGCCATGCCATGCCATGGGATGGACGTGTCTTGTCTTGAGAGGCCACCATAAGAGCACCGAGATCATGTTTCCATTGCAAGCATCAAACTTGGACGTCTCTTTTCTTGACCATTGCGCTGCTTCCCTCGGCCTCCCAGGGGGCAGGCCCTGCTTGAACCCCTCTTGCTTATTCCATCTCTGCCGCCCATCGGTTGTGCAGGCTCCATCAAGGGGGGGAGACGGACGTGAGGGGGTGTTATACTGCTATGGCGGTGAGTCATATACTGCTGCTCTGGGTTTAGAGGCGCCTCAAAAGTTTTGAGGCAGGCTACTTGAGATCCTCGCCTGCCCATAATCTGTCGGTTGTTTGCGACTTTTGAGGCGCCTCAAAGTTGTTTGCGCTCTCCTTGTCGATATGTCTCAAGGCTCCCCCCCTTCCCCTCCCCCTCTCCCCCCCTCCCCCCCAGGTGGCGCATCTTCTCTGCATCCCCACACCTGACCTCTCAGAGAACGTGGCAGCATATGTGCACAGGTGGGCGGTTGAGAGGGGTGATGAGAGATTTTGCCTGCAAAGGTCTGGGTCCTGTGCATGGCAAAATTATATCTTGCCGCAATCTGGGTAGAATTTCGGTTGTGCAATGCAATGTGCAGCTCACTTGTGAAATTCGCATTGCCTTCCCATCATGTCCTCTCCTGCCCGCCTTCACAGCTGTCAGACCTACGAAGGAGGCATCGGAGGGGAGCCTGGCGCAGAAGCACATGGGGGGTGAGTGGGCGGAGTTGGAATGCGGTTCCGGTGGGAGAAATGGAATTGGGGGGGGGGAGGGGAGGGGGAAAGGGTGAGGGGGTTGTGAGGTGAAAGAGTGGGGATGAAAAGTGCATGTGAGACGGTATGGGCCGAGAGAGGGAGAGGGGCATGAAAGGGGAGGGGGAATTGGCTTCACGGCATCACATCATCATGATCATGAGAACGATCATCAAAAGTGATACAGTTATTCCTCCTCCCGCACAAGCCCCATCCCCTCCTGTGCGATCATGATCTTCCTTCTCCATTTCCAAACCACGCCGCTTCACTCGCCCCGTCGATTCCTTGTCGCTCCCTGTCATTGTTCGCCGTGCAGTTACACATTCTGTGGGCTTGCTGCGGTGCTATTGGCTGGCGCTGACCCCTGGGAGCATCTCAACCTGCCTCTGCTCCTGGTCCGTATCTCTGGCTCCCAGGAAACATCCCTTCTGAGATGTCGACTTTTTTGTTGTTTTTTTTTTTCAGCATTGCTGCACCAGAATGTTCCTCCGCTGACAGCATCTCATTTCCTCTTTCACCCAACCACCTCCTGCCAATCCTCTGCTTTGGCCACAACCCCTCCATCTCCCCATCACCTCTCCTGCCATCCCATGCATTGCAGGACTGGCTGGTGTTTCGCCAGGGCAGTGTGGAGGGGGGGTTTCAGGGGCGAAGCAACAAGCTGGTGGACGCCTGCTACAGCCTCTGGCAGGGTGGCCTCTTCCCTCTCCTCGCCCTCTGCTCCTCCTCCCACACCCGCCCCACTGGCGATGCCAGCTCAGCGCAACAGCCGAGCAAAGTGAGCTCAGTGCCGCGTACGGAGGGTGCAGGGGGAGAGCAGCAAGGCATGCAGGCGGACAACAATGGGGAGGAGAGGGGGGCTGTTGGCGAGCCCAGTGGTGTCGCTGGTTGTTCCGGCCAAGAAAAGAGCCAAGAAGAGAGCGGCGCTCAAGAGCGCTCCAGTGGAAGCGAAGGCGGTGGAGGTGATGGGAGAGGTGGAGAGGGGGCGGAGGATGAGGAGGATGAGGAGGAGGAAGATGAGGAGGATGAGTGGGAGGAAGCAGATGTGGAGTCGTTTCACCGTGTTCCCTTGGCGGCTGCTGCTGACCTCTTCCCTTGCCCCGAGTCTCTCTTACCGCCTGCTGGAGCTGGGGAGGGAGGCGAGAGGACGGGAGGAGAGAGGGGGGGAGGAGAGGAGAGGGGAGGGGAGGGAGAGGAGGGGAGGGAAGGGGCGGCAGGTGCAGTGCGAGGGGAGTCGGGGGACAGGGCAACTGCACGTGGTGGGAGTGATTGGGTTGGCAGCTTCTGTTACAACGACGTGGCGTTACAGGCATACCTGCTGCTCTGCTGCCAGGTTAGTGCCATACCTGCTGCAAGGTTGGTACCGTACCTCACCACACCACCTCAATCTTCTCTTGACGCTTCACCACCTTTCCCTCCCACTTCCCTTCCTGCCCCCAAATCCAGTCATGGAGACTGCCTCTTGCCTTTCCATTTCCGAAGCCTTTCCCTTGTCTGCCGTCTGTATGCCATGCCAGCCTCCACCATCATCATGATCCTCTTTGCACCTCGGCACTCCCCTCTCTTCACTTGCCGTGTGTGCAGATGCCAGAGGGGGGACTGAGGGACAAGCCAGGCAAGGCACGCGACTACTACCACACATGCTACGCCCTCAGTGGCCTCACAGCGGCCCAGCACTCCCATCCAGTGGCCTTACCCACCCACACCCATGCCCCCCAGCAAGCTGCGGCTAGTGTGGATGTAGGAGTGGGGGGAAGTGTGTTAGGGCCTGTTTCGAATTTTCTGGCCGTGGCGGAGCCTCGATGTAATGTCAGGCGGGACAAGTATGACGAAGCGATTCTGTTCTATGAGGAATGTGAGGCTTTGCTGTAGAACGCAATACTTGCTGTGAAAATGTGTGTAAGAAACTCCCTGCTTAAGCGTGCGCTGTACTGCTAACGAAGCATGTCGTTTAGCGCGTCATTGCTAGAACCCAAAAATGATTTGATGCAAGCGTCTTGAACACAAGGCTTGTCATTTCGTCAACACTTGAGCATCCAAGCCAAGGGCAACTAACTGAGCTCGGCGCGCAGCAGCCTCCACAGCAGCAAGAGCGCGCGTGCATGCGCGGGCTTCCCTCAAGCGGGCGCCTCCTGATTGCCACGCTCACCCGCTCGATACAGTCACATCGGGCTCAGTCACCCTGCGCCCCGCACTATTCTTTGCTGCAAAGCGCGCCGAAAGTTGTGTGGGCGTTGTTTCCGGGAGGTGCATTGGGATCCCCGCGCGCACTGGGAGCACCGCGCGTATCGGAACACGGGCGCCAAGTGATATCTGCGCGCGGGCTGACTTCCGCGCAAGCGGCCCCACGAATGGGGGATAAGCGCAAAGCGAACGGGGAAGGGGAGGCTGAGAACAAGAAGTCAAAGGCGGCGGTAGCGGGAGAAGAAGGGTCCGCAGGCGCAGGGGGGGCAGCGGGAGGGGGAGGCGAGGTCATGGGGGGGCCCTCAGGGTTTAAGGTTTTGAAAGAGGGTGCAGCGGAGATTTTAGTACAGGGTAACGACGTGTTCTATAACAAGGCGCAGGTAGTTAATCGCGACCTGTCCGTTTGCGTGCTCCGCGCGTTCGTCGCAGTTCGGCGGGAGGAGGAGAATCAGCGGGCCGCGGCGGCGGCGGCGGGAGTGAAGGGACGCGCGCTCCTGAAACACCCCAACGCGGACCTTGCGGCGAAATCTGCGGCGGCTGCTGCGGCGAAGCTTAGAGGCGGGGAGAAAGGTGGAGCCGCGGAAAGCGGGGAAGGCGGGGAGAAAGGGGAAGCGGGGGATGGGAAGGGTGAAGACAAAGAGGTGAAGGAGAGAGAGGGAAGAGCAGCAGAAGGGGCCGCGGGAGGGGAAGGAGGGGAGGGGAAGGAGACGAGCGGAGAGAAGGGGGACGGCGCGACTGCAACAGACGCAGCGGCTGAAGCGGGGGAGGGGCAGCAGCAGCAGCAGCAGCAGGCGAAGGTGGCCGAAGTGAAGCCTTTGAGAATCTTAGAGGTAGGTGTTACCCGGCTAGCCGCTAATCCATGCTGGTTTTTGAGAATTCTAAATAATCAGAGAATCTTAGAGGTAGGTGTTACTCGGTTAATCCATCCATCCACCACCACTTCATGGACCCGGTAGCCGCCCCTCTCATTCGTTACCCGCCCTCCCCACTTCGAACCTTCGCCCACACTTCAACTCGTCTCTTTGCCCACACTCACTCCCCCCTCCCGGGGATTAGCAGCATCAGGCCTGCGGTCGATCCGGTATGCGAAGGAGATCCCGGGGGTGGGCGCGGTGGTGGCACTGGACAACGACCCCGTGGCTGTGCAGGCCTGCCAACGCAATGTAGCGCTCATCCTCCGTGCTACTCCACACCGCACCTTCTCCTCTTCTTCTCCTCTTGACCTTACCCCTTGCAGGGCCTGGCAGCATCAGGCCTCAGGTCGATCCGGTATGCCAAGGAGATCCCGGGGGTGGGCGCGGTGGTGGCACTGGACAACGACCCCGTGGCCGTGCAGGCCTGCCAACGCAACGTGGCACACAACTTCGGTGGTGCACCACCACCCGCCACCGCCACTGATGCTGCTCCACCACCACCCGCCACTGCTGGTGGTGCTGCTGTGGCTGAAGGGGAGGGAGGGGAGGGAAAGGAGGAGGGTAAGGGAGGGGATAAGCCGGCGAGTGAGGGAGGGAAGGGGGAGGGGGAGAGGGTGGTACCAGTGAGAGCAGAGCAAGGCGATGCGCGTGTGTACATGATACTGCACGAGAAGCAGTTTGATGCGGTGAGTGAGTGTGGGACTGCAATGCAGCAGTGCCAGGCTTACGTTACGGACACATTATTGGTACATTGACTGACCCAGCAACATCTTATGTCCAGCTCTCATGTATTCCCATCCCCAATACCTCGTGCGTAAAGCTGCCTTTCCAATTCACCCTTCTGAGTGTGGGAACACCTCCGCCCTTGCTTGCCTTCACTCCTCATGAATGGGGCCACGCAAGCATTGCCAGTGTTTTCAGTCGATTCGAATCTTGACTCGATTTTTAGTTGACGCCGGACCTGCACGGCTCACTGTCGGTCTTCCTAATCGGGTACTGCAGGCGGAGGCAGAGGCGTTGACTGAGTCGAAGTCTGAGCCGAGTCAGCCCTAAACTCTATCCAAACATCTACCCTGCTACCTTCATCTCCCCAGGTGGATCTGGACCCGTACGGGACGCCGTCAAATTTGTTTAGATGGGGCGGTGCAGGCAGTGGCGGATATCTGAGTCAATTTGCAAATCCTTCTCTCCCGTGTGACTGCAGGTGGATCTGGACCCGTATGGGACGCCGTCAGTCTTCCTGGACGGGGCGGTGCAGGCAGTGGCGGATGGGGGCATGCTGCTGGTGACAGCTACTGATATGGCCGTGCTGTGTGGCAACAACGCCGAGGTCTGCTACTCCAAGTGAGCCCATGTGTCGGGCACAACTCTTATATCTGTTGAGGATTTGGGTTCAGGATTTTTTTAGGTGCATATACGGATAAGGGCCTAAGCCGTTGGTGAGAGCACGAACATGGCCGTGATGTGCCGGAACAACGCTGAGGTCTGCTGCTCCAAGTGAGATGCTGTTTTTCAGAAAAAAAAAAAAGGTTAATTTACAGGCAGGTCCAGGTTGCCCAGACACTTCTGTTACCATCCATACCCGATGTGTGTCTGCCCTGTTTGTGCATCGTTTGACTGTTTCAGATGGCTTTCGAGTCGTCGCAGAATTAATATTGTGCGCCTTTTGTGTGTCCTCTGTATGGCTGTATCAGGTACGGGGCCTATCCACACCGTGCCAAGTACTGCCACGAGATGGCCATCCGCATACTGCTTGCCTCCATCGAAGTAAGCCTCGCTTGAATCACTTCTCTTAGCCGCCGCAGAGTTCACAGGAGCTCCCATCATAGGGGCAGTGTTCATAGGAACACTAATCATCACCCATTTCCATAAAGTTGCTCCTCGTAGCTTCACATTACATTGTCACCACAATCTCTCCTCCCGTCCTCAACAATCCCTTCGCCCTCTACGTGTGACGCCACATGCCACACCAATTCCCCCCCCCCGTGCCCTGTGGTGGTGGTGCCCATCAGAGTGCAGCGAACCGGTTCAAGCGGCACATAGTGCCGGTGTTGTCCGTGTCCGTTGATTTCTACATCCGCGTGTTTGTGCGCGTCTTCACGTGAGTCGTTCGGATTGGGTAGAGAGAGAGTGTAGGTTAACTGCAACACTGCTGCACTGGATGATATGATCTGAAATGACTCACTGCGTCTCGGACCATCTTTCTGTGATCATTCAACACGCAAATCGAATTTGTTTTCTATGCACTAAACTGACCTGCCGTTCAGAGCCTCATAACTGTCTTGTCTCCCCTTCCCACTGTGCTTCCCACTGTGCTTCCCACTGTGCCTCCTCTGCTGCCTCTGCTCTTCTGCTGACCGGACCGGCCATCAGGTCGGCGCAGGCAGTGAAGGCGACCCCCAGCAAGCTGGCACACGTCTTCCAATGCTCTGGATGTGACTCCTACCACCTGCAGCCCGTGGGGCGGGTTGTTGAGGGGCGAGCAAAGGTGAGACTTGAGTTGATTCAAAACAAGCTGTCATGCGGGTGAGAATTGTAAGGATCCTCTGATGATGGAACCAAGCTGGCATACGTCTTCTAGTGCTCCGACTGCGGCTCCTACCACCTACAGCCTGTGGGGCGGGTCGTTGAGAGGTGTGCCAAGGTTAGGCTAATCAGAGAGAAAGGGCAAGAAATGAAGAACAGAACAGAGATGCTGCCACATACAGAACAGCGTCATGACATCCACGCACCTTGCACTGTCGCTGCCAGCAGCAGCAGCAGCAGCAGCAGCAGCAGCAGCAGCAGCAGCAGCAGAAGCAGCCACCAGACTTCCAGCCCCACTCTCCTCGTCTTCCTACCCCCATCACGTCCACTTTCTCTCGTCGTCTATCCCTGCCTGCCTTGTCCCAGGAATCCAGGCACCTTCCTTTTTCCCCTTCCAATTGCATCTGGGAATCAGAGGATCCATGTGGACCAGACAACGTCCCCACATGCAAACTGTGTTGTAGACATTCTAGACAATTCTTTCTTCTTTCTCATCCGACTCCCCCCTCCTCTTTCCTCCCTTTTTTTATCTCCGTACCCCCCGGCCCTCCAGAAACCAGACGCCCCTCCCCCTCCCCCCAGGTACCTCCCCGGTTTGGGCCCAGTGATTCCCCCTGCGTGTGAGCACTGCGGGCGGCATCTAAGCATTGGAGGGCCCATGTGGTCGGCGCCCATCCATGACGCCAGCTGGGTTCGGCTGGTTCTGGGGGAGGTGCAAGCAGGGAAGGGCAGACTGGCTGGGTTCGGCAAGGTGCATGGGCTGCTGACTGCCGTGTCTGAGGTAAGGGAGGGGGGCGCGTGGCAGGGGGGAGGGTGAAGGGGGAGAGGAAGGGGAAGGGGGAAGGGGGAAGGGGGTAGGGGGAAGGGGCAGAGGCCGATGATGGTCTGTTGTGACACTAGGTGCTGATGGGATGCTGACTGCTGCGTTTGAGATAGGAGTATGGGAGAGAGAGGGGGACCGGATGATACGACATGGCAGACCGAAGAGAGGAGCCGAACAGAAGGAAAAGTTGGTACTATTTAGAGAATCATTTTTCAGAATCTTTCCTGTTTCTTCCTGTCCCAGAACCTGCCATGATCACAGGAGCTGCATGACATCCCTCGCCACGCTTAAGTGCGCGCCTCCCTTTACCTCCGCCCCTGCACCACACTCAAATGTAGTTTCCATCCACCTCTCTTGCCACCCCAGGAGCTGCACGACATCCCACTGTACCTCGACCTGCATGAGATCAGCGCCACGCTCAAGTGCACGCCCTTCTCCCCATTTGTCCTTCCCGTCCTATCCCTCTCTCCCCTTTCCCTTCCCCTCCCGCCACCCCAGGAGCTGCACGACATCCCGCTGTACCTAGATCTGCATGAGATCAGCGCCACGCTCAAGTGCACGCCGCCCAGCATGCTGCTGTTCCGCTCCGCGCTGGTCAATGCAGGGCACCGCGTGTCGGGGGCGCACTCCAACCCACTTGGCATCAAGACCGACGCCCCGTTGGGGCTCATCTGGGATGTCATGCGCTGTTGGGTGAGTGATGCGTGGGGAATGGTGGGGTGAGAGAGGCTGTTCTGCTCCGCGCTGGTGAATTGAGGGCACCGCGTGTTCGGGGCGCACGCCCTCCAACTCACTCAGCATCAAGACGGATGCCCCCCTGGGGCTCATCTGGGACGTCATGCGCTGCTGGGTGAGTCATGCGTGGGAGATGGGGGGAGAGGGGCTGGATTGTGTATTCAGACAGCATGGGATCATGTGATCATGCATGATGCAATGATGTGAGCACGAATGTGCAAGTTATGCATCACCCTCTCCATGAGTCACGGCCATGATGTCATTCATACGTCGCTTACGTGTAACACGCCACTCACCCCGTGCTGATGTGGTAACCAGATCCGAGACCATCCGGTGAAGTCCCAAGGGGAGGGCAGCCCAGCTGACACGATTCTGGCCAAGCCACCCACGACTGAGGTACGACAAGTCTATGCACGCTGTGAGTCACTTAGGGGCTGAATATTCCCTTCTTACTTGATATGAGCGGATCTTGCTTGCGCAAGTTGCAGATGAGGGGGGGGGAATGTGTTACTGTACGTTTCACATCTTCCCACACCCTCCTCGGCCCAAACTACATGCCTTTTCCCACTCTTCTCTCGCTTCTCTCCTCTCCACCTCCCCAGGTCAACTTTGCCAAGGCCCCCAAGGCGTTGAGCAAGGCGCAGCAGAAGGGAGTGGCACGATTCGTGCCCAACCCAGAGGCATACTGGGGCCCCAAGCCACGTGCTGGGAGGAAGGACGCCACTGCCATGGCTGTGCTGGCACGGGAAGAAGGCGCGGTGGGGAAGGAGCAGGCTGGGCAGGCGGATGGGAAAGGGGATGAGATGGCCGAGTGATGTGGCGCTTATGCGGCACTTGTGCGTCACAAGCTGTCACCAGGAGTGATGGTTTGAAATCATGGCTTGTGATGGGGTATTGATGATTGGGAGCTGGCTCTCCTGTTACTGGATTTCTGCCCAGCAGTCTATTTCCTGATTTCAATGGTGTGCAACCTGTCCCATACACTAGTATCTTCAATACATGCGGCATTCATCTGTTGTCTAGAGGACAGACGAGTCGAACAGAGGATTGAAGCCTCCATCTTCTGTATACTTGGATTGAATCTCCTGGACAAACAAGCATTGTATAAGTGATATATAGATTCCATTACCATAACAGCATATGTATTCCAAACCGAGTCCACCGTGAGTCTACGCGTTGGCAATGATCTCATGCACCAGGTCGCTGATCGTGACATCCTCTGACCGCGCAGCCAGCTTCATGGCCACCTGCTTCTGCGCATCCATGCCAAATGACAGCCGCACCAGCGCCGACACATCCCCCGGGAACGTCCCGGCGAGCAGGCACTGGTGCGAGCGCGCGTTGGAGGGCACGTTCTCACTACTTTCGCACGGCTGCATGCCCAGAATGGTGATGACTGCCTCTACTGCCTCCTGCAGGCTGTCTCGCACGCCCAACCCGTACTCATCCACACGCTCCAGAGATGGGTCGATGGCCTCCCATGCTGCTCTGAAGTTGGGCACACTCAGCTTCCGCACATAGTCGGCTGATGACACCTGTAGAAGCAGAGATGGAGAGTTGGAACGGGGAGAGGGAGGTGGAGGGAAGATTAGGGGACACTGATGGAGTTGCACGAGGAGAGATATTGCGGCTGGAAGTCCACTGTGACTCTATGTAATCATAGAGTGGTGTGACCTGAGACTCCAGTCAGTGGTGTGACCTGAGACTGGTATGACCTGAGACTGCAGACAATCAAAGCGATACAGCCCATCCAACCACATTGCCAACTCACCTCGAGGTCTTCCAGCTGGTACTCGTCCTCGTAACCCTCCTCCTCGGCATCGCCCGTGTTGGGGTCCACCTCGACCACCTTGAACTTCATGATGTTCGTGATCTTGCCCAGCGTCAGCGCGCCCTCTGGCTTCGACAGTGCCACAAACGTCTGCCCAGTCACGCCATATGCCATGCTCTTGAGCGGAATGGTCGCCACCTCCTCAAACTCCTCTGCCTCTGCCAGGTCCATGAGCACGGTGACCTGCGAGGATGCGACACAGAAGGATGGACACAAGAAAGTGGAAACTCGATCAATGAAGGCAGACGAGGAGGTGTAGCCTGCAGGGAATGAGATGAGGTCAGGAGGTCCTCTTGTTGGTCGCAGCTGCAGGAGATGATTAGCAGAGCATGGCAGAAACAAAATTCTTTGGGCGAACCAGAGGTGGTTCCATACGTGGGGAATGAGGGGGAAAGGCAAGAGTAACACGGCGCGGCGCGGCACTCACATCCTGCAGCATCTGTTCGGCGATGGTGTTGGTGCAGTTGAACTGGAAGACCATGTGTGCGGGGAACACGTGCTTCACCACGTTCACACTGTACTCCGTCTCCGCCTCCGTCAGCTCCACTGGCGCTGATGACTGGTGCCAAACGGGAAGAGGGAAGAGGAGGGGAGGGGAGAGAGGTTGCGCGTATGGGGCAGGGCGAAGGGGAGGAGAAGGGGTTGGGGGAGGAGACATCGAAGGGTCGAATGTGCTTGAGGCATGAAAAGGCATTCCTGGACAGCTGGGAAGCAGCATACACAGCATGACATCCTGCCCGTGTGCCCATGCAACGCCCCCTCCTCCCGCTTGATGCAACCTGCTATCGCACCTTGAACAGCTTGCCAAAGGTGGCAAACTCGGGGATGGAGTTGAGGAGCTTCTCATACGCCTCTGACGCCGACGCACCACCCCCAGCCGCCTTGGCGGCTGCTGCCTCCTTGGCGGCCTTCTTGGCGCCCGCCTTGGCGGGAGGCAGCCCCTTCACCTCCTTAGGCACGCTGTCGATGTCAAACGCTGCCTCGCTCGGCTCCTGGTGCGGGGAGGAACGGACAATGAGGCTTGCCAAAAATTCAGCAAGCACACGGTGTCTACATGCAAACATGTGCACTAATTCAACCATGTAAATCCCCCTTTCCACAGCCTCCACACACACACTTTGACTTGAACGAACTATTCTGGAGAAACACAGTAGAGGATGATCCAGCGATCCCAGAGCGACTCACATAGTGCTTGAGCGCAGTCTCGAGGTTGACAAGCGGCACATCGAGGGCCTCCAGCATGAAGTCGCTGGCGCCACTGGCTGCCACCGACTCCTGCCCGTCGCCCCCCAGCACGTTCAGGTACAGCGTTGCTCGATCCCGCACCTGACAGGGGTTCAAAAACGGATGGAGCAGGTATGACGTTAGTACCTCCAGAGTGAGGAGATTTACGAAGATGGGAATAGGTGTGGAAGAGCTTGAGGCTTATGATGGGGTGCCAGAGGAGGCAAGGAGACCAGGAGACAGAGGTGCACATGCAGGGTTCACAACACTTGTGGCGTGGTTTGAAGTGAATGTGGCATAATGCAAAAGTTAGTTGGCACTGTGCATCTCCTTCACCTCATCATCGTTGTCATACAGACAGCGGCGCAGGAGAGTGACAATCCGAGGCTGCACGACAGCAATTGGAGAGGAAGAAATGGTGGAGGAGCAGATGACCCAAGAGTTAATGGTGAAAGACATTTGACTGCTGCAGTCACAGTAAAAGGAGAACTTCGACAGAGTGCACAGGAATCTCACTCAGGCAAATCTGCCACCAGCTCATTTATACCCACGCCTCCCCCAGTCCAAAATCCCAACCCACACTCAGACACTCCACCCGTTCCCCGACCTTCACAACAGCTCCCCAACCCCTCTCCCCCCCTCTCCCCCTAACTGTACAACCAAGACCCACCCGAAGGGCTTCCACTTGCGCGCCGAACTTGGCAAGGGTGCTGACGGCGCTGGCCCTGACAGTGGCGTTCTCGAGGATGACGCGGTTGTAGATGAAGCGGATGTACCGCGCCGGCTCTGGCGTCTTGGGACCCTCGTTGCCCAGCAGGTGCAGAATCTGCCAAGTGTAGGTGATAGAGAAGCCAAGGTCCCAAGGAGGAATTGCAGAGGGATTCAGAAGAGAGTTAGCAGATGAATTACAGGGATGCGGATAAGGAATAAGATGTTCTGAATCAGCAGGAAATAAGGGGGAGGAAGGTGTTCCGGAAAGTTGATAGTTGTGGAGCCCCTCATTTTGCAAAAGAAGACGCTATTGCAAGTCTCGCGGGAAACAGCAAGAAGAAACAGGATATGAGACCTAGTTGGGTTGACTGCAGCTGGCAGGGCAAAACGAGAGGACAGGAACTTAGATAAGCAGTGCATGGAACTCAATCTACCTGCGAGGAGAGGTAGGTGAACTCGCAGTCCTCAATGAACTCGCAGAGGTGTGAGAGGCCAATCTCCTTGGCGTCAGGGATCTCCCGGATGAGAATGAGGATTGAGTCCACGATTGCCTTCTTGTACTCGAACCCACCCTCCTCACGCAAGATACCACTCAGGAAGTTCATGCTGCGAACAAAAAACAAAGGGAGAAAGCACTGTGGTGAGTGCATGCTCATGCATACAATTTCACTGCGACTGCAGTTTTCCCAAACGCAATCACAGTCTGAAGAAACAAATGCGGAGCTGCTGGGCAAAGGGTAAACTGAAGCGATGAGATGAGGATAAATTGATAAAACGAAACTTGACTCACAGGACACGGTATTTCTGGGGGTATTTGAGGCAGAGAGAGCGAATGGCCTCCACGACCACGATCTTGAACTCATCAGCAATATCCGACATGAAGTTGGTGATCTGCTTCATCAGCCGGTCCACGCTCGCCTCATTCCCCGTCTTGAGCAGCGTCGTGATCGCGAGCGTCGCAATGCTCCGGTTCGGGTCTGAAATCAGCGTCTCCATGTCAATGTTGCAGTTGGTAACCGCCTGCGGGTGCGCCATGGCGACCTTGTTGAGCGTGCGGATGGCGGCAAAGCGCAGCACGGGCTTGGGCGAGGAGAGGAACATCTGGAGCACTGTGATGGCGGGGGTGAGCTCGCGGCCGGTGATGTCGGTGAGCTCCGTCATGGCGCGCGCTGCCTCAAGCATCACCATGTCCGCCCGCTGCCGCAGACAGCTCTCCAGGAACTCAAAGAAGGGGCGCGCGTTGTTGTTGTTGGGACCCATCTCCTCGATCACCTGGGATGGCATGCACGTACGCCAATACACACAACACGTGTTTTGCAGAAGCAATGTAGCGAATGCATTTGGGTCATCTGCAACAGCTCGCGTACATGGTCGTTGCAATAGCTGGCAACAAGACGCAGCCTGCATGCTAGTCAGGGAACGAATTTGGCAGTAGTGGAGGTTACCTGGGAGGTGTAGCGCACAAGCAGGCACTGTGCAAGCGGCGAGCGCACAGCACCTCGCACGAGGCTGGTTACCAGCTTGCTGATGGCCAGACGGTCGCTCTGCCGTATCTGTTCAAAAGAAGATCCAAATTGAATCAGACAAGACAGCAAGGAGGAGGGAAACATTTGAGAGAAGAAGTAGAGCAGGCGGCAGTACAGAGTGGGTGGGTGGAGAGCAGGGAGAGATAGAGCAGCGTAGACACTGGTACAAGGGAAGGCTGACCTGGTGAAGGAGAGCGAGGGCATGGAACTGCACGAGCGGCGACTTGGAATGCACCGCCTCTTGAATCTCATTGCTCCATCTCCGCACAATGTCCGGATTCGTCTGTGCAACACCACCACCCAACACAAGTTGTGAAATTCAGCACCTTGGCGCTTATCAATGATAACAATCACTCCTGTCCTGACGCTCTCTTCACCAGCATGAGTATAGCCGTCGCCAGCAACAATCAGTTACCTTGAGAAGGTGGAAGCCGCTGACCAGAGCAGCACTGGCAACGACAGGGTTCTTATCCACAACCGCTTGCTTCAGATAACGCTCAATCTGGCCCAGCAGGCCTCCGTCTGTGATGCGACAGAGCACACGGATGGCATTTGCTCTGTACAGGTCCGTCTTGCTGTTCATGTCCTTCATCAGGGAGCTTGTCACGATGATGACCTGCACGCATGGAGAGGATTTACTTGCTGACGATGATTGCGCTACATCTTGAAACGGTAGAATGATTTCCGTGTGTAATGGAATCTATGTTGGTGTAAGAAGTGACACGAATCCAGATTAATACCTCGTCGGATGATGGGGAGATCTCTTTGATCATGAGGTAGAGAAATCGCCGAAGGCCAATGTCGTTTGATTGAAAGAGCTTGGTGACGGAAAAGAAGACCTCCGTCGCTTCCGTCTGCAACTCAACGAGTGAAAGTTAGCGATACATAATGGTAAAAAGTCCTCTATATTAAACATTAACTTTCTCAGGATCTGTTCTGGGCCACCAACGGCAGAAAAGGCTCCCTCACCTTTGTGAAAGTTTCGCCTTGATTGAGCAAATAGAGCAGCTTGGTGATAACCTGCAACAGCATAAGAACGAGATTCAGATCCGTGCCGATGGATCGTGAAAAAAGGGGTCTAGAACGAGCGAACTGCCAAACGCCTGGCAAACATAAGTGAGGGATAGCATGCCGAATGAGGTACATCATGCCGACCTGTGCGCATCTCCGGGGATCCAGCTGCGGGTCATTGAATACACGAGCTTCCTGTAGAACGGAGCCCTTCTCGATCCCGAAAAACGGCGAGTACTCGACTGCATTCAGACAGAGAGATTACGATAAGGCTTCTCTCTCCCAAATTCGGATGTGGTGGATTTCGAAAAACTACTCACACAACCTCGCTGCGCAGGAGACTAAATGTAAAGTGGCACTCACACTCTCCGTCAAAATCTTCGTCCTTCTTCATCCCTGGTGGCAACAACGCCATCTTGCTTGAACGATGAATATGCCGAGCTAACACAAGCAACCGGATTCACAATCAAATAGGCGGACAGAAGCTAAGTAGAAGATGCAGCCGCACTTTTCGCGATCGATCAACGAGGTATGCCTTCAGCCAGAAACCACTAGTTAGGGCAGACCAGCTTCAAAGTGCGAGGCGAGTGAGTCCGTTCCAGTGGTTGCTACCGAAATGGATCAGGATCCAAGATGGTGGGGAATGGGGGAGATTCCCGCGAAACAGACTGCTGCAATCCTCACAGATAAGTCCTGACCCAACCGTTAACCATATCTTCACGATACATTGAAGTATGCAAAGCGAAATGCAAAACAAATTACATCCTACAGAGGTGGTCTCTCAACTTCAATGTTTCCGTACAGAGTTCCTAGAATCTTTTCCTATGTCCACAATGAAGGCTTGAATGGAGTCACATTCCAGTGTAACATAGTAAACTAGGGTTGGCAAACCACTTCTGACAGTAGCCTTATGGTCCTCAGTGGTCCGAGTCACGGCTGTAGAAGGCATCCAGGATCTTGGGTGATACACGACGAAGCATCTCGCGGGGGAAGATGCGCAGAAGGGTCCATGCGAGATCCAGAGACTGGTAGATGTCCCGAGCATCGTAGGCTCCCTGGGTGACGAATCTGTGCTCGAACTTGTCCAGGAACTCCAAGTAAAGCTGAAAGTCAGATGCACAAATTGAAGTGGACAAGGTCAGGGCTCATGAGTGTGAACAATACCCTGGGCATTGCACAAGATAGGTAGATGGGGTATTGCTTTTTTTCACAGCAGAACCAGGCAGGACTACCACACATACCAGATCTTCAGATGACAAAGCTTCTTCTCCAACAACAGCCTTCATGGCTTGCACATCACGACCAATGGCGTAGTTGGCATAGAGCTGAATAGACCGAACACATAGTTAGAGCAGAATGAGACTTTAGAAGCCCAAACTTGAGAAAAGGTGACGGCGAGCTGCCGGTGGAGTTGCTACAGAAAATACAGACCTGATTGGAGACATCACCATGATCCTTGCGGGTCATCCCTTCTCCAATAGCACTCTGGATGACGGGATGAAGGAGGCAGGCAAGTTGACCATGCAGCAGGACGAAGGAGACATGGACGTATTTATACAAGCCAATGGACAAGAACTTGATGATGCATGCATGAAGCAAATCAAATGCATACCTTCATAAGACGAGACAGAGACGGCAACACGTTGATCGGAGGATAAATCTGCGCACGAAAAAACAGCCGTGAAGGATGTTAAGAATACATCACCGGCAAGACAAGGTCAAACAGGAATGTCATCAGAGCACGTCAAACCTCTTACCTGTCTGTTGTGCAGCTGTCTGTCAATGTAGATTTGTCCCTCCGTAATGTAACCAGTAAGATCGGGGATAGGGTGAGTGATATCTGCAACACAAACATAACCCACATCCTCATACACAGTGAGCTAACCATCACGGACCTAAGCAAGTTTTCAGCCATGATCAGTCCCTGGTTACTGTCTGATAAACACTATGTGAGCACAGCCATGTGCATGTCAGGAATTTTACTCGTTTCCTTGACCCTGTGAACACATCAACATACACCCTCATCAGTACATACCGTCATTAGGCATGGTCAGAATAGGAATCTGGGTGATGGAGCCCTTGCGACCCTCAATACGCCCAGCACGCTCATAAATGGTCGCAAGATCAGTGTACATGTAACCAGGGTAACCACGACGCCCAGGCACTTCCTCACGCGCAGCAGAAACCTGGCAAATAATATTTGCATATTTTAAAAAAAGGGACAAACGTCGGGTATCAGTGAGAGGAGCAAAAAGTATATGGAACTGGTCATGAGGGAAGGAAGAGGTGAACGGGACACAGGTAACAGGCGCAAATAGGAAATGTTTCAACAGGTGAACAACAAACGGGAGTAGCGAATACCGTAGCAGAGCGTGGAGGTAGGGAGCTAAAAAGCGCACCTCACGAAGCGCATCAGCGTATGAACTCATGTCCGTCAAGATCACAAGCACGTGCTTCCCACACTCGTAGGCAAGGTACTCAGCGGTTGTAAGCGCAATACGAGGAGTAATAATGCGCTCAATGGTAGGGTCGTTGGCCTGCGAAGTGGAAACAAACGAGGTGAGATTTTATCATGCTTGAAAAAAAAAAGTGCAACAACAAACAATGACGACTTTTACCAGGTTGAGGAAAAGCGTCACACGCTCCATGGAGCCATTCTCTTCGAAGTCTCGCTTGAAGAACGCAGCAGTCTCCATGTTAACTCCCATAGCGGCGAACACAATGGCGAAGTTATCTTCCTCATCGTCCTGGGACAAGGCGTAAGAAACAGTGTAAGAACTTGACAATCAAGACTTCATGAAAGGAAGTGCACAAAGTTTGTCAGAATGGTTACCTTCAGCAGATCATCCTTCTTCTCCAACGGCTTCACAAGGCCTGCTTGCCGACAAATCTGTGCGGCAATTTCATTGTGTGGAAGACCAGCGGCGGAAAAGAGGGGAATCTTTTGTCCGCGAGCGATCGAGTTCATGACGTCGATGGTCGAAATACCCGTCTGGATCATTTCTTCGGGATATGTTCGCTCACTGGGGTTGATGGAACTGCCTGCATGTTACACGCAGAGGTTCAGATCAACTTCGTCTGTGACATGAGGCCAGATCGAGGCGCATTGAAGTATGATACTCACCGGCAATGTCGAGATATGCTTCGGCAAGAATGGGAGGCCCATCATCAATGGGTTTGCCAGATCCGTTGAAAATGCGACCAAGCATGTCGATGGACACGGGCGTTTTCAACACCTGTTTCGACGATAGTTGACATGACCACGATCAGTACCTCAGACACCTAAATCACTATCCAGCCTTTCAAAAGTCATAAGTTCAAGTCACCTCGCCAGTGAACTCGACTGTAGTATGCTTGTTATCAATGCCAGAGGTCCCCTCGAAGACCTGCAGAAATGACAAGTCTAACAAAGTCAAACATTTATTTGAAGGAAAATGCTGGTCTGGTAAATGAAGCGCCGAGACAACACCTGAACAACGGCTTTGTCTCCATCGATCTCAAGAACTTGACCTCGTCTAATCTCTCCATCCGCGAGCCTCAAGTTGACGATCTCCTGGAACTTGGGACCCTGCGGACAACGAGATCCAGCGAGGCACCAAGATCCGTCGATAAGCTGAACAGTTTCGTGCATACGTCACCGCGAAACGGAAAAGAAAACTAGACTGAAGCGTACCTTCACTTTTTCCAAAATGACCAAGGGACCAGCGACACCAGACACGGTTCGATACTCTGTGCAGTTGCGAGAAGAAGAACAGGAATAGACAGTTAGAAAATCATATGTTGAAGTTTAAGAACGTGATCCAATGAACCAGAATAAGAACCCGATCCTAATGCGACCCGAATCTCAAAACGGAAATGCCTACTCCGAAATGTCTTGGGAACCGAACTAAGGCTAGAAAAAAATCAACAAGACCTACCTAGGAACGGTTCGCACACATAGTCTCGGCTAAGCGCCTTTAGATGCTCTTGGACTTCAGCCATGGTCCCCATGGTTGCTATTCAGGATTACGCAGACTAAGGGGAAAAGGAGCCAAGTGCAGGAGCAGCAGCTGTGCGTGGGAAGGAACAGCACAGAATGAGTGAAGGGATTTCTCGGATCAACGGAAATGCCTGGATGTCTCGTTGGTCAGTCTGCTGCGCTGCACCACTAGCCCTGCTGTCGTGAAGCATTGGCAGTGTCGCGAAAAGGGCGAATGGCAGGTTACAAAACGCCAGTGGAGCGATCGGCATGATCGTGAGTAAAACTGCTCTCATTGAGAGTTGAACTCAAGACCTCCCGCTTACTAAACGGGTGCTCTAACCAACTGAGCTATGAGAGCACGACGGAAGAACTAAATGTATAATAATGGTGGTTTTATATAACTATTTGTGTCAATGAATGGATTGTCATAGTTGCACAAGCATTTCTTTGCCCATTTAGAATCCACGCAAGAAGCATGACAGAAGCGTGTTGCAAACATATTGCTGCAAGAAACCATCATTCGATTGCCCTTCCTATTGGTAATCGTCAACCAATCTCATTTGTGTTGGTCGTTGTGCCAAGGTGTGTTCTATCACGAGGCATTGAGGGTGGTCTGAATGGTTGATCGCTCTTTCGCTGTAAGCTCCTGTTGGTGAACGAGGGAGGTAGAAGGGAGTCAAGGGTGTGTTTGAGTAGTGACCAGGCATGGACAAATTACTACCAACTGGGTACGTTCAACGTATGAACGAGAAACCGAGGTGGAAAGCAAATGCCTCCTGGGATGGCCTGGGCAGAGGAACAAATGCTCCTGAGAAAATGCTTGGTTTGAACATTCACCTGGGAAAGCGTATGGAAGAGACTTGGATCTTGAGTTGCCAGCTGTCTGATGACGTCAGCAATTAGTACAGGCAGGTTGATCTGGGAGGTGCAGGCGTAACGGAAGAAGATTGGGCAGGGGGGACAGAGAGGAGAGGGAGTGGTTGAGCAAACATGTGAGTGGCTGAAAAAACGAGAGAAGAGCGAGTGAGTGAGCGAGTGAGTGCATGGGTGTGAGTGAATTGGGAAGAGAGAAGCGGAGTGGAGAGGGGCACGAGTAGCATAGTGGGTGAGCAAACATACCTGGTTGAGTGGGTCGTCTTGAGCATCGTCGTCGTCATCCCCTGCATCCTCACCAAACTGCCTCAGCGCATGCATGGACAGAAGCAGTGGGAGAGGAATGTGAGCATCGGCATGGGCACACAGGTGGGGGGAGCGAGAAGAACTCAACAAAATCATGGCGCTTTACAAAGGTCTAAAAAACACCCTGCAACCCACCCAGCCTCGACGCCACCCACCCCAAAGGCCTACCGTGCCCGTCCCAACACACCTCTTGGTCCAGCAGGTGGGAGAAGAGCTCAGCTGAAGCAAACACTGGTGGCAGGCCTGCATCCAGCCCCTCCCTTCCCTTGCCGTGCCCCCCCTCCTCCTCACTTCCCTCCTCGTCCTCCTCGTCTATGTCTCCATCCTGCTGGCAGGAAAGCAGGAAAAAATCGAAAGAGGTTCCACCAAGGAGGAACATACAGCCTTAGTTGGGAAGGTGGGAGACGTTGGTTTGGATTCAATGGCAGCATGCCTTCATGGTGTGAAGAACGTTCTCACCTCGCTGCCCCTCTGCTTGTCACACACCCACTTACCGTCGCAACACCTCTGCTCACTTGCCTCTTCTAACCAGACAATGTGGTGTATAACAAAATGCCTCATGTTTGGGGCTCCTCCGAAGGGCATTCTCACCTTCTTCCCCCCTCTCCCGGTCAGTCCCCAAAGCTTACCCCTCTCAATGCATCTGCCTGCTCGCCCTCCTCCTTTGCCTCCAGCAACACTCCCGCCAGCAGTGACAGGCCCTAGGGGCGTGAGGGATGGGGGAATGGACAGTGATGACAAGGAGTGAGAAGTGGTGACAGGGGCGGTGAGGAGGAGAAAAACGCGGTGAAATGAGGACGTGCGGGTTAAAGAACATAGTATCTTGGCCCTTCCATACCATTTGATGACAAGGACTGTGTGAGAGGACATTCTCACCTTGGCTGGAAACGCCATTTCTGTCCACTTGTCCGCCACCACTCGTGCTCGCGACCGAGTCACAACGCCTTTGGACGTCTGGAGGAGGGAAGGAAGAAATGAGGAAAGGGGAACATGGTTCAAGTTGAATGCACCTCAACATCAGACCAATCCACAACAACACCCTTAGACGTCTGCAAGTTAGGAGAAGAGAAGAGACAACAGGTTGCAAACAGGGGTTGATGAGGCATAAAACACAGCTCACCGCCACCAGCCGGCCCTGCACGGGCACTTGCAGGAAAAGTCGAGTTTTGAGCCGACTAAAAAATTACAACACAGCTCACCGCCACCAGCCGGCCCTGCACGGGCACTTGCAGGAGGCGCGGGTCCCGTGAGGCCAGCAGCAGCGCCAGCGCTGCTGACGCCACCTTGCTGTGATACACCCCGTGTATGTCCGCTGAGGATGGTGTGGTGGGCGACAGGGGGGCGGTGGTTCACACAGGCGGGTGTTGGCAGCAAGACGGCAGCAACGGGTTGGGTGACAAGGAAGGAATGCAGAAGTGGGCATGGTTGGAAGAAGGGGCAGTAACTGGATGGGTGGAGGAGGCAATGATAGGTAGACGGAGTTACTGGGTGAGTAGAGGCAACTACTGGTTGGGTAGAGGAGGCAAAAACTGGAAAACATAGGGGTATTGACAGGGGGAAAGAGGGGCACTGACTGTGGTACATGGCCCATTCGGAGAGCAGGAAGTGGAGGGCCGATGGGTGGCCGGGCAGGGGCATCGATGAGAGCAGATCTAGCAGCGGGCGCACGTCCGGTGATGCCCAGTGCACCTGGGGTGGGGTGGGGATGGGAGTAATTTTGAGTCGACTCAAAGATCCACTTGGGAGTCGCAAAAGTGGAGGGCTGGCGGCTGGCTGGGCGAGGGCAGGGGCATCGACGAGAGCAGGTCTAGCAGCAGGCACACGTCTGGTGATGCCCAGTGCACCTCGGGTGGGGGCGGGAGAAGAAGAGGAGTTAGAAGTCTGAGAACTTAGGCTTAGAAGCGATGCATTAGTAATGAGCTTGAAGCTCTTTAAATACATCCAAGAAGGGGAGGGAATGGATGGGGAAGGGAATCGGGGGCAATCCTAGGGATTGGGGGTAATCCCAAGGCAATCTCCAATTGGTGGGTTGGAGATTGCTTGGAGATTACATTTGGGTTTGGTTGGGATGTAGGTGTACACCCAACCAAACACAATGTGCAAACTACACTACTCTAGAAAATACAAAGTACAAAGTGTGAGATTGAAGGCTAACACTAACACCCCCCCATAGGCGTCAATCGAACTCATGGTAGAGAGGGTGGTGCACAGAGCCCTATGGCGCCTAGGAGACGGTGGTGGGGAACTTTCCCAAGGGGCTTGGTGAACAGATCAGTCAGATTGCAGTCAGATGCAACGTATTCCACTTTCAGCTGCTCCTGTTGGACAAGGTCACGGATGAAGAAGTGCCGAAGTTCAATATGCTTGGTGCGGGTGTGATACACAGGATCTTGAGAGATGTGGATGGTACTCTGGTTGTCACACCAGAGGGTGGGGGCGGACTATGGGAAACCAAGCTCCTGGAGTAGGAAGGTGAGCCAACGGGCCTCCTGAGCAGCCATGGTGCCTGCGTAGAGCTCTGCCTCACAGGAGGAGAGGGAGACTGCAGACGACCTGGTGGAGCGCCAACTGACAATTCCGCTCCCAAGGGTGAAGCAGTACCCCTGAGAGGAGCGTCGGTCGGTCTGGTCATCAGCCCAGGAGGAGTCGGTGTAACCTTCCAGGCGAGGAGGGGAGAGCCCACCGAGTGTGAGAACGTGAGACTTGGTGCCCTGAAGATAGCGCAGCACCCGCTTCGCCGCCTTCCAGTGAAGATCAGTGAAGCGTCCACGGGCCACGTAGCGAGAGAGGACACTGACAGGATAGGCCAAGTCCGGTCGGGTGCACATCATGGCGTACATGAGGGACCCAACAAGCTCCGGGTATGGCTCAGAGCAGGCCTCTGGTGTGGGTACAGCTGGAGCAGTGAGGAGGTGTTGCAGCGGCAGCGAGGTGGCAACAGGTGTGCACAGCTCCATCTCGAACCGCTTGAGCACATTGTCGATGTAGAACTCCTGGGAGAGTGAAATGGTGCAATCCTGACGATCACGAGTGATCTCCATACCCAGGTAGTGCTTGAGGTCACCGAGGTCTTTCATCTGGAGAGCCTTGCTCAGGGCTGCCTGGACAGAGGTCATCTGGGCCGAGTCCTTAGCAACGAGGATGAAATCATCCACGTAGACCAAGATGTAGAATGGCTCAGAATGACGGCGGATGAAGAGAGTCGGGTCAGCAGTTGAAGGGTGGAAGTCCAGGGAGAAGAGGACTTCTTTCACCTTGTTGTGCCATTCGCGAGGGGCTTGCTTAAGGCCGTAGACGGGGCGATTCAGCTTCCAGACAGTGTTGGGAGGGAATTCTCCTGGGAAGCCTTCTGGTCTGTCCATGAACACTCTCTCTTTGAGACGTCCTTGTAGGAAGGCAGATGAGGCATCCATGGATTTGATCTCAAAGTCTTATCGAGATGCGACATCCATGAGCGTACGAATGGTGGGAGGTTTGGATGTGGGGGAGAAGGTTAGGAAGAAGTCGCGGTACTGCTGTTGGGTCAAGCCCTTGGCTACGTAACGCGCTTTGAACACCGGGGCCTCGTCTGGGAGCTGTTTTACACGGAACAACCACTTGCCCCCGACGATGTTGACTCCTGGAGGAGGAGTCTCGTCGTCGAAGGAGTGGTTGCGGGTGAATGCTGCAATCTCCGCTTCCATGGCAGCACACCATTCGGCAGCATGAGGGCCTGAGAGAGCCTCTTGGACGGTGAGAGGGATAGAGATGGTCGGGTTCTCCGCGAAGTTGAGGAAGGGTGAGTCAGTGATGTCAGGGAAGATGTGCGAGGGCTGAGGAATGACTGCATGAAGATCACACAGCTCCTCATGCCTGTCTTCCAGAAGGGTAGAGGGCACATCCCCCCCAGCAGGAGGAGGCGGTGGGATCGCCGTGTATCGAAGAACCAGCGCTAGTGGAAGAGCCACGCCATGCGAACGAGTGCCATGAGCCACCGGAGAAGAGGGTGGGGCAGGCGATGTCAGAGGGGTTGACTTAGGAGGCTTGGGCGGGGTACGTGAATGGGCCGCCGGTGGTACGTGATCAGCTCGGGCGACTGTGGGAGAGCGGGTTCCTCTGTGGTGGGGGGAACCGGGGGAGGAGGTGGGGCCTGAGGGTGGGACCGCCAATGGTAGGTGATAGGTGCGCTCGGAGGTGGCTGCACAGTTGGCGGAGTGGGAAGTGAGGGGGATGGAGGAGCAGCTGCCGAAGACACCGGTGAGGGCGGGTCAGAGACCGCAGAGGGGGACGGTGCGGTGGCAGGAGGGGTAGGGGGTGAAGGGGCCGGAGCAGGCGAGAGGTGAGGAGGCGCATCAAAGTCTGCCCACACGAGGGAGGGTGGGTCAAGGAGAGGGTCCCGTCCCGAAGTGGAGTAGAATGGGCGGGTCTCATCAAAGACAACGTCGCGGCTCCGGACCAACTGCTGAGTGGAGGGATTGAGGAAGAGGTAGTCAGGCGAGTCGGCGTTGTGTCCGAGGTAGATGCATGTCTGGGTCTTGGGACCGAGCTTGCCGCTTTGCTGCCGTCGAGCCTGAGGGTTGAGGAGGACATAGGCGGTGCACCCCCAAACGCGAAGAGAGCGAGCAGTGGGCGTTTTCCCGAGCCAGAGTGTGGTTCGAGTGGTGTCGGGAAGATGCGGGTGGGGGTAAAGGTTGTAGAGGAGGGCGGCATGGTAGAGAGCGTACCCCCAGAGAGAGTGTGGAGCGTTGGAGTGGCTGAGGAGGCACCGAGTGATCTGCACCAGGGTGTGGTTGCGGCTCTCAGCTATGCCGTTCTGCTGCGGACTGTCAGGGAGGGTGAAGTTTTGCTGGATGCCTTCTGAAGAGCAGAAGGCTTTGAGCTTGTCGTTGCAAAACTCACCACCACCATCTGAGTGGAGGCGCTTGACTTTACGGTCAAAGGCGGTCTGTGCCTGTTAAACCCACGCCATGAGGACCTCTGGAACCGCAGCCTTATTGTGGAGGAGGTGAACAGAGACGTAGCGAGAGTGGTCATCGACGATAACAAGGAAGTAGCGATAACCACCTCGTGCGGGAACAGGGGCAGGGCCCCAGACGTCCAGGTGTACCAGGTCCAGTGGTCCTGCTGCGACAGAGGGTGAGGCCGGGTGGGGCTGTTGACGCAGTTTGCTCTTGGTGCAATCAAGGCACGTGGGAGCGGGGGAGTCTGGTGGTGGAGGAAGTGAGGCTGGCAGGCCGAGTAGAAGTTTCTTGGAGGCCATGTCAGCAAGTGTGCAGAAGTTTGGGTGCCCGAGCCGATGGTGGTATAGTATGGTCGGGTTGGAGAAACTGCGGCACGAGCAAGGTGAGGTAGTCGCCGCTGTTAGGGTGGTTGACACATGTGGGATGGGTACTTGCAGCGTGTAAAGGCCGCTGCTGTTGAGGGTGAAACGAGTCAAGACCTTGTTGGTGAGTGGGTCGAGGATATCACCATAGTTCTCGTTCTCCCAGAAGATGGTGCGTAGTCCAGCTTCCTGAATTTCCGTTTGGGCCACGAGATTGTGGCGGAGTGAAGGCACGCACATTCCAGTGACAGTGCCGGATGGGAAGGCGGGGCACAGGACTGTGGATGAACCCTTGGCATGAGTGGTGAAGCTTGAGTCAGCTCCTAGGAGAGGGATGGGTGTTGCGTAGGGTTTGAAGGAGAGTGTCTCCTTGAGTACAGTGTGTGTGGCCCCGCTTTCGAGTGTGAACTCTATGTATTGTGGTGCTTGAGATGAGCCGAGATACTGGGAGGAAGCTTCATTAATCATGGCAGTGCCAGTGAACAACAGGTTGATACGGGCATCAGCAGGAGCACTGTCACTAGCACTAGCCAAAGCGGGGTCCTGGACCTCAACCAGGTTGGCCTTACGCGTGCGCATTCAGTTTGGTGGCCTCTTGTCTATGCCGTGGATGGCGTACCATTCGTCGTCCTTCTTCTTGAAGCACGTAGCAAGGGGGTGGTTGGTGCCACCACACACTTGTCCCTTGCGGTTGCCATACTTGACGACGTAGGTGCACGGTGGGAAGCGGTTGCGCTGGAGGGGCGCCGAGGCAAGGGCCGATGCGACACTGGCTTGAGGCATGGGAACACGGATGGCGTAAGCTTTGGCCTGAGCCGTGGAGTCTTTCTCGGCAGAAAGGAGTGCGGTGGAGAGACCTTGGCAAAAGTGAGGTCTTCCGCAGTCAGCGTGAGGAGCATCTTCCTTGTGATTTCATAGGTTGTGGTGAGACCAACGAGAAGAGCTGCTGCAGGGGCCTATTCGGGGAAGACTATACCCAGCCCCTTGAGTTCGCCATGAATGGTCTGAACCTTGGCAATGTAGTCGGTCATTCCCGAGCAATCCTCAAGGCGGACCTCGAATATGCTGGGGATGAGGATGGCAACTCCGACTGCAGTCTTATTCATGAACCAATCCTGGAGATACTTCCAGATGGCGTTGGAGGTAGGGTTGTTATGGAACGTGTTGACAAGTTCTGGAGGGGTGGAGGCGATGAAGACGCTGATAATTGCAGCATCGGCCTTCTCCCACTTCCGGTACTTTTCAACGGCTTCCTCATATGCCTTTGTGTCAGCCTCACTAGCGGATTCGGTCGGCTCGCGAGGGAGAAGGGGTTGTTTTCCCTTGCCACGGTTGAGGAGGACATCCTTGAGGTCCAATCCCTGCACGTCACGGCTCAGCAAGTGCTTGTCAACCCCATAGCTCCATGCCTTAAAGTTGGAGCTAGAGCCATCGGCGTCAAAACGGAGTGGGGTGATGGGGTTGGCCATGGTGGACGAGGCGAATGCCATGATGGAGAACCCTTAGGGTGTCGCGCGGAGTGCCGCTCTTGAGTCAACGATAGGAACTTGAGGTTTGGGGTTCCGAAGGAGATTTTGAAGAACCGGAGGTTTAGGGTTTACGAAAGAGAATTTCGAGGTTTAGGGTTTCTGAAAGAGATTTCGATTCAGACGCCAATTTAGTGTCAACTACCTACTAATCCTATTCCCACACATCCCCCCACACACCACCCTCAGCTTCTCGGCTGCGCTGGTGCTCGGCTTCGCGGCTAGACGGCTGCTCGGCTTCGCGGCTACGCTGCTGCTCGGCTGCGTTGCTGCACCTGTTCAGCTGCGGGAAAGGGAGGGGGATGGGGGTAGGAGTGCAGATGCGGAGCGACGGGCGGCAGCCCGAAGGTGAAGCTGCAGGGCGACGGGCGGCGACCCGACGAGAAGCTGCAGGGCGACGGGCGGCGGCCAGACGAGAAGCTGCAGGGCGACGGGCGACAGCCCGACGAGGAGAAGGAATGACGCGATGATGTTCGACGAAAACGAGCGATAGGTTAAAGCGCCGACGATGCGCTTACCAGTGAGATAGTAGATGCCGTCGAGAGTGACGGGGAAGTGGTGCGGAAGAATTTCCGCCCACGAATGTCGCGAATCAACGGCGACGAGATAGAAGGCGGTTACGCCGAGGTTTGCGGGACGAACATCCGCAGAGATAAGAGGATCACGATCCGCGTGTGCGGTTTGAAGGGCTCTGATACCATCTGAGAACTTAGGCTTAGAAGCGATGCATTAGTAATGAGCTTGAAGCTCTTCAAATACATCCAAGAAGGGGAGGGAATGGATGGGGAAGGGAATCGGGGGCAATCCTAGGGATTGGGGGTAATCCCAAGGCAATCTCCAATTGGTGGGTTGGAGATTGCTAGGAGATTACATTTGGGTTTGGTTGGGATATAGGTGTACACCCAACCAAACACAATGTGCAAACTACACTACTCTAGAAAATACAAAGTACAAAGTGTGAGAATGAAGGCTAACACTAACAAGAAGGGCATGCCATAGGAAATTAAGCAATGAAGCTGGTGGCAAGAACAAGACAAGAAGACAGCACAGCCGTGCATCCATACCTACCAGGGATGCACTACAGTCACATCCACCTACTAGGGATGCACTACAGTCACATCCACCTACCAGGGATGCGCTATAGTCACATCCACCTACCAGTCGAGCAAAGACCAGTAGAAGCAAGGCGGAGAGCGAGGGCATGCGCTTGGCGGCCATGCGGTGCACGATGGCCGCCACCAGCGCCTGCAATGCACCTACCAGTCACAATCGCACTGCCGCACCCACCAGCCTGGCAGTCCCCCACACACTACAATACTACTGCACCCACCACCCACACACCGTGCCTCCACCCACGAACCACACACTGCAGTCACATCCACCTACCAGTCGAGCAAAGACCAGTAGAAGCGAGACGGAGAGCGAGGGCATGCGCTTGGCAGCCATGCGGTGCACGATGGCCGCCACCAGCGCCTGCAGGTGCGGTGCCATGCGCGAGGGCACGCGGCGGATCAGCTGCACCAACAGTGGCCCCACAAAGAGCGATGCTGATGGCTCCAGCTGTGGGCTTAGAAGCCTTGTGATGGGTGCGGGGAGAGCAAGGGAGAAGGAGGGAGAGGGAAAGGGAGGGAGAGGGAAAGGGAGGGAGAGGGAAAGGGAGGGAGAGGGAAAGGGAGGGAGAGGGAAAGGGAGGGAGAGGGAAAGGGAGGGAGAGTGAAAGGGAGGGAGAGGGAAAGGGAGGGAGAGGGAAAGGGAGGGAGAGGGAAAGGGAGGGAGAGGGAAAGGGAGGGAGAGGGAAAGGGAGGGAGAGGGAAAGGGAGGGAGAGGGAAAGGGAGGGAGAGGGAAAGGGAGGGAGAGGGAAAGGGAGGGAGAGGGAAAGGGAAGGAGAGGGAAAGGGAGGGAGAGGGAAAGAAAGGGAGAGGGAAAGGGAGGGAGAGGGAAAGGGAGGGAGAGGGAAAGGGAGGGAGAGGGAAAGGGAGGGAGAGGGAAAGGGAGGGAGAGGGAAAGGGAGGGAGGGGGAAAGGGAGGGAGAGGGAAAGGTAGGGAGAGGGAACGGGAGGGAGAGGGAAAGGGAGGGAGAGGGAAAGGGAGGGAGAGGGAAAGGGAGGGAGAGGGAAAGGGAGGGAGAGGGAAAGGGAGGGAGAGGGAAAGGGAGGGAGAGGGAAAGGGAGGGAGAGGGAAAGGGAGGGAGAGGGAAAGGGAGGGAGAGGGAAAGGGAGGGAGAGGGAAAGGGAGGGAGAGGGAAAGGGAGGGAGAGGGAAAGGGAGGGAGAGGGAAAGGGAGGGAGAGGGAAAGGGAGGGAGAGGGAAAGGGAAAGGGATGAAATGGCATGGGCAGGCTACGGATGAGCTTCATGAGGGTGAGTGCATGAGCAGCAATCCTTGCATGCCATGCCGCCATCCCCGCCACTCACTTGGCGGCAGCATCGAGCAGGGTCTTCTAAGTGCCATCAGGGTCAGCACTGCCCGCCACCAGCTCCTCCCCTCCCTAGACTGTACCAACCCCCCTCCCCCCACATATTAATACCGCACAGCCAACCCCAGCACTCACTTGGCGGCAGCATCGAGCAGGGTCTTCATGGTGGCATCGGGGTCAGCACTGCCCGCCACCAGCTCCTCCCCTCCCTAGACTGTACCAACCCCCCTCCCCCCACATATTAATACCGCACGGCCAACCCCAGCACTCACTTGGCGGCAGCATCGAGCAGGGTCTTCATGGTGGCATCGGGGTCAGCACTGCCCGCCACCAGCTCCTCCCCTCCCTTGCGCACAAACATGGCCAGCGCCTCCGCCCCGTTCTGCAGCTCCGTGTGATCGTCTGACTGCAGCACCACTGCTGCTAGCGGTGCAAACAGCGCATCGAACACTGGCCGCACCAGCGGTGGGGGGGTGCGCTGCAGGAAGCAGGTTGGGAGGGGGGCGGGCCCGGGGGGGAAGAGGGTTAGTCAACTCAAAGGTCAAACATGGCCAGTGTTCCGTTCCGTTCTGCAGCTCCGTGTGATTGTCTGACTGCAGCACCACGGCTGCTGGTGGGGCGAACAGGGCATCAAACACTGGGCGGACATGCGGTTGGGGGTTGCGCTGCAGGCAGCAGGTTGGGTGGGGGAGAGGGCAGAGGTTGGGTTAGTACTCAAAGATGGGACACGGCCAGCGCCTCCGCTCCGTTCTGCAGCTCCGTGTGATCAAGGCTGGAAATACATTGACCACTGGTTGTGTTCCAAGCGTTCCTTGCAAGCTCACACCGATTCTTGAACTGCCTGTCTTTGTGGCACCAGCAGTCTTACCTTGAGAAGCATTGTCAGCAGCTCCATGCCTCCTGCCACCAAACCGTTGGGTTGCTCCTCTGGCTGCTCCCCACCCCTCCCCACCTCTCACCATTCACACCGACACACATATGCACACACCCACATGCACATGCACACACTCGTATGCACACACCGTGTGTGTTCACACATACCCATCAAATGCACATACAAGCCGACCATGCAAGCAACTAACCCAAGTCCCCCACACTCACACACACACACAGACACAAGAGCACAGACACAAGAGCAGACACAAGAGCAGACACAAAAGCACAGACACAGAAGCACAGACAGCTCCCATGAGAATCAAATGTCATAACATCGTTATTCTTGCCGAATACTTCAAATAGCATAGCATAAAGTTCTGGTTTTTTTCCGCAGCAGCAGCAGTGCTCTGTATGCTGCTCGTTGCACAGAGCTGGCTGCTCCAGTGCTGAGATATTTGGAATATCTGCTTGTGTAGCATTTCTGAATCACAAATGGGTTTCGACAGAGATGCGAAAGGCGGCAGACGACGTAAACTTGCAGTAGATAGAAGAGCTTTTGTGATTCGATGATGGGGGAGATGACGTTACCTTGGAGAAAATGGTGGAGAGAGGGGGGATGGCTTTGCGCAAAATGGAGTCGATGCAGGCAGGGAGGTCGGCCATGGCCTCGAGGGCGTCACTGGTATCAGAGCTGATCACTGGGTCGTTCACGTGCTCCGCCCATATGCCCAGCAGCGCCGATGTTACCACCGGCTCCATCTGTGCTGTCACCTCCGCGTCTGATTGGCCGGGATGAAAGAGGGAGGTGGCGGATGGTTTGTGAAGGGAGACGCATGGCATGGGTCGGCATGGTAGCCTTGGTACAACACGGCATGGCAGACAGGCATGGTGGACATGGGCATGGCGCATGGCAGTACATGGCATGGCAGTGCAAGGGTCACCTGAACGGACGACAGCAGTGAGCAGCTCAAGGGCGAGATGAAGCGTGTCATCCGATACCTGGTGTGGGGGCGGGGGTGAGGGGGCCGAGGGGAAGGTTGGAGGCAGCAAGTGGGTGGGGTGGAGACAACAGGATGGGAAAGGCGGAGGGAGTGGACTGCAGCCAGGGGCGGAAAGTGGGGAGTGGTCTCTGGCAGCTGGTGTTGTGTGCGAATGAGTATTTCTTAAGGGTAATGAACGGAGGAATGTCAGGTCTGATGAGAGCTATGTTCAGAGAAGACAAGGCCAGCATGCATGTCTCACACCAGGGACTAAAACGTATGATCCACTGCTGGGGATCACCATTTTCTCACATGGGACAGCTCAGCACCTGTTCCTCACCTTGGCAGCATGTGTATGTGTGTGGCGCACCTCGGGCAGCATGGGGCGCACCTCGGGCAGCATGGGGCGCACCTCGGGCAGCATGTGGCTCACCTCGGGCAGCATGTGGCTCACCTCGGGCAGCATGTGGCTCACCTCGGGCAGCATGTGGCTGATGCCGGTGTAGATGGCGGGCAGCACGGGCCTGAGGTCCTCCGCTTGCATGTTGGGCGCCAGGCGCGACAGCGCTCGGCACGCCCCTATGCGGATCACCAGCGGCCTGTGTGTGAGGGGGTGCATGGGCGTGAACGACAGAGAGAAGGGACGAAGGGGACATGGGATGAAAAGACGTGTTGGGCGCCAGGCGCGACAGCGCTCGGCATGCGCCTATGCGGATCACCAGCGGCCTGCATGCATGCATGGTGGCGGTATGGAGGAGCACAGGGAGGGGAGATGGCATGAAAGACATGTTGGGCGCCAGGCGTGATAGCGCTCTGCATGCTCCTATGCGAATCACCAGCAGCCTGCATTCACAGGGGGGAGGGGTTGGTGGGGGAGAGGGAGGAGGAAGCTTAGATGGGGAGAAGTGACGGGTTGGGGACATGGGATGAACAGACATGTGACAGACAGCACTCTGCACGTCCCTACGCGGATCATGGAAACATGCAGCATCCCTATGCAGCATCACCTGCCAGTCCTACCATTATGCTCGTGCTGCTGTCACAGGCATGCCGTCCATCCACGGCACACCATGTCATTCCAACTCCACGCAACGGCACGCCACCCATACCATCTCATCCCTTCATGCCATCCCATGCCATGCCATCCCATCCCATCCCATGCCATGCCATGCCATCCCATCCCATCCCTGTTCATACCGTGACATCCTACCCCACCATTACCATGCCATTCCATCTCCCTACTATCTCCCCATCCAAGTAGCCGCACCTGTCCTGGCTGAGAGCCTCTGCAGCCACGCGCAGCAGCTGCACCTTCTTCTCTGTCGGTGCCTGATGGCCCACCACACGCACACGGAGGGGAGAGAAAAAGTCCCTTAGGCTGAGTAACATGCACAGGGGTGAGGGCTATGAATGCAGGATTGTAAGGGGATTGCAAGAGATCCAAAGTGAAGAGTCCATACTCCATAGTGGATAAGCATTTCAAAGGCGAACCTTCCCAGCCGCCCAGATTGAGTGGCATATCACATCCTATTTGCCTTGGGCCGCTCGTTACAAGCACATGCACTCACGTCAGAGGCGAACCTAGCAGCAGCCCAGAGACAGCGACAATAGAGGAAGGGGAAGTTGACTGCTCCATCTGTTGGGAAGTGGCGCAGAGAGGGAAGGGGAAGAGGGAGAGCAAGGGTGTGGGGAGAAGAAGAGGAAAGGGAGGTTGTTAACCTCTGCCCTGTTTGGTGAAACGGTGCTGTTACATGGCTGGTTACAGGACAAAGTCACTCAGCTGGCTGGTCCCATATCATCTCGCATGTACATCAGAAAAATCCCTTGAAATGACTGCAAAATGAGTTTTACATGGCCAAGATGAGCATCAGCAGAGGCAGCTAATGCATGGATAAAATACATACAGACCGAATCACTCACTTGGGCCCAGATCATGCAGGAGCAGAGCATCGAGGAAGGCCTTTGAGTCAAACACTGGCTTGCCCTCCATCTGATGTGCCCCATGTGGATGGTGTAGTGCAGATGAGGACATGCAGGGATGCGGGCAAGTGGGAGTGCAGGCAAATGTGCACACATGCAATTGAAGGCCTTTGAGTCAAACACTGGCTTGCCCTCCATCTGATGTGCCCCATACGATTGGTGTATTAGCACATGTGGGCTGGACATGCAGGGATGCGGGTGAGAGGGAGTGTTTTGAGACGTCTCAAAACAAGCCCCATACAATTGGTGTATTAGCACATGCGGACATGCAGGGATGCGGGCGAGCGGGAGTGCAGGCAGATGGGCACACATGCAGATTGAGACACGCACTTGAACATACATGCATACATTCACGCATGCACCCCGGCACGCAGACATACACAGGCAAACATGCACAAATACACAGGCACGGCACATACAAGCACATGCAAAGACGTATGCAAGAAGTCGTGTTTTGAGTCGACCTCAAAACACATTCAACCACATGCAAAGATGTATCCAAGAAGTGTTGCGCAGGATACATGCCAGGAAGGAGAGACACCCATGCATCACAATCTCTTAGCATCACAATCTCTTAGCATCACGCGCAATCACCTCGTACTGAAGAAACGTGTCGGCAACTGAACCAGCAGCAAAGATGGCTGCCTCACGCAACTGCAGGGGCGGACGTGGGGGAAAGGCAGTGGAGGGACGTGGGGGCAAGGCATTGGAGGGACGTGGGGCTGAGGCAGCGGAAGGACGTGGGGCCGAGGGAATGAAAAGAGGCCGGAGGAACCAGCGGAAACACGGAGATTTAGAACTGAAAAAAATATCTCCTTCCACCAGGCAAGCAGGCGAGTCTCACCTTCCACCAGGCAAGCAGGCGCGTCTCACCTTCCACCAGGCAAGCAGGCGCGTCTCACCTTCCACCAGGCAAGCAGGCGCGTCTCACCTTCCACCAGGCGGGAGCATGCTCTGTGGGGTTCACCACCGTGTCTCCCAGCCGCCTCTGCACCGCCGTGGATATGCCCTGCACTGCCTCATCCTTGAACTCCGCCACTAGCTCCTCCAGCAGCGCAGCAGCTGTGCGGGGAGAGAAAGGAGGTGGTAAGGTTGGGGAGAAGAAGAACAACAATCTATGCTCCTTTCTTTCCCACGGCCATGGATATGGCATGCACTGCCGCACCATAGTCTAGAACTCCACCACCAGCTCCTCCAGCAGTGAGGCAGCTGTCGGTAGGAGGAAGGGTAAGCATGACAGTGAAGGGTGTGCTTATAGTGGATGTGACTGCAATGTGAACTGACTGCAATGCATGTGGCTCTCACCGGAGGTGCGGCAGCTGATGGCCTCATCGTCCTCCTCTGAGACAAACTCGTTAGTGTCACGCTGCCACTCCTCCTCCTTCAGCGGGAGAGCACGGGGTACAAGGGAAAAGGTAAGCAGAAGAGAAACACCCACGAGGCAAGGTGTGAGGGAGAAGAACAGGTGGGCCCAAAGTGCATGCAATGTGGACGATGCGGAGAGAGAGGCAGGACAGAAAAAGAGCAGGAGGAGGCGAAATGTAATCAGGAAAGCTTTGGGTGTGAGTGAGGTAAGAAGGTACCATCTTGTAAAAGCACAGTTCTCCCGCACAGTCACACCACACCACACCACACCACTAACCTGAGTTGCGGTGATCTGCATGTAGGCTATGGCGAAGTAGACCAGCGCCTCTGTTGTACCTTGCAGCCCCTGCCATGCCATGACCACGGTGCATACAAGGTGATGAAGGTTTCATGGGAAGGTTTCATGGGAAAGTTTCATGGAAAGGTTGATGACCTTGAAAGTTTCAAGGTCATCAACGTTGTTGTGGCTTGCAGCAGCAAAAACCCAACAATGTCAAGATGTAACGAAAAAACATTCTTCGGTCGAGTCATATATCATCTTTGTTGTGCCTTTCATTGTGGGCCATGCCATGACCACGGTGTGTATAAGGTCAACGGGGTGATGTGCAAGAGTGGCTCCAAACTGCTTGACTGAAATGCAGACGAACAGAAACGGCTTGTGGTTTGCTCTCAGATTGAAGAATGGGAACCAGAAGTAAGGGGAGGCAGAAACGAAGGCAGGACAGGCAAGAGGAAGCAGTTAAGGGAAGGCAGTGAGAAGGAAGGCAGCTAAGGAAATTCAATCAAAAGAAGACACAGAAGGCAGGTACACGAAGGCACCGAGGAAGTTACGCGGTTACGCAGGGACTAACCTTCTGGAATCTGGAGTTGGTTGCAAGTGTCAGGAGGAACTCAAAGGCCTGCGAGGCAAACAAGTGGAAGAGGCGATGGAAAACGTCAGGGTCTGAAAATGAGCCCATAATGGCGAAAAGGTTACGGCAAGACTTTTCAGGTGCCAGGAACAGGAAGATATTCGGTTCGCAAGAGAAACACTCTTGCAATCAGCTAGCTTGAATCGCAAGACCTAGAGACCCTCACCTGAATGGCAAGCGCAGAGAGCTCGTCTGCTGCTGACTCATACCCCTCTCCTCCATCCCCACCTCCCTCTGCTGCTCCCCCTGCCCCCGCTCCTGCCTGTGCATTGTCACTGCTGGCAGCTACCCCTGCTGCCCCTGCATCCCCGGCTGCAGCAGCAGCGGGGGGCAGGAGCGGCAGTCCAGCCACCAGCAGTCGCTCATACAGAGGGATGCCTGACACATAGCTCTGCCACAGTGCTGCTAGGATGCCTGCGAGGAAAATTTAGGAGAAGGGGAAGGGGGGGCGAGATGGTGGGTGATTTGGTACTTGAAGAGTCGTCACGGAACACATACAGGGGGATACCTGACACATAGCTCCGCCATAGTGCTGCCAGTATGCCTGCGAGCCAAGGGGGGAGGAGAAGGGTGGGCGGGGGTGGGGGAGGAGGGATGAGGGGTTGTTTGAGACGTCGCAAAGTTTGTAGAAGGGGATGCCCGGCTGCATGCAGCCTTGCCACAGTGCTGAAAGGATGACACTGAGATCAGAGGAAAATGGTAGGCGGGGGTGTGGAAAGCGGGGGAGGCGACAAGACGAGGCTGGAAAAAAGATGAGGCAGGCAACAGGGTGAGCAGAGAATGGAGAGGGGGAAACGGGAGGGAGGGGAGGGTTGTTGACGGAGGGGGAAGGGGATGGGGATGTGGAAGGTTTCACGAGAGAAAAAGGAGATAGGGCGATAGGGAATGGAGGGAAGAGGTTGAGAGGGATATATACTGGGTTTATCAATACCTGGCATTGTCGATTCCAACAGCGCAGGGAAATGTTGAATGAGCTGAGTCAAGCAGCGGAGCACCTTATGAAGGGGATGGAGAGAAGGCATGCAGAAGAAGACAAAAGATGAAAATTGGCAAAGCAAAGCAAACATCCTTGCTTTTCAAAATCCAAACTCTACACCCTAAACCCGAATCCCCAACGTTAACCTCCAAATCCCAACTACCAAAGCCCCGAACCCTGGCGAAAACCCCAAAATGGATCAACGAACGAACAGCAATTTCATGACAATTGCGCCAGGCATCTCAGGTCGGACACTCAGAGCAATCAAAGATTCACATGTGCTCCTGGTCTCAAGGGAAAAAATCATGCCGATGGCAGCACAGCACACGCAGTGAGTGCCTGTTCCTCCTTCGTCGAACCAATCAAAGCCGGGAAGTTTGATATGACACTGGTGCCTGCCTGCCTTTCCATTTTCCACGTCCCTCACCTCTTTCCTGATGCCCCAGTCTTGGGGGTCGTGTTGTGAGAGAGGCGAGGAGAGGATGGCAGCAAACTGCGCCACCCACGCAGGTAGCGACTCACTGATGATTGCCTTGCTCTCCTCCTGCGGACCAAGGAAGGATGAGGAGGGTGAAGGAGAAATGGAAGGGGGGTTACAGGGGAGGGTAGCGAGAAGGTGTGCTTTGGGTACACTGAAAATGGACTCCGCCACCCATGCGGGCAGCGACTCGCTGATGATCGCCTTGCTCTCCTCCTGCGGACCAAGATGGGGGGTTGGGGGGACGGGGAGGGGGCTTGACAGAGAAGGAAAGGGGAAGGGGAGAGGCGACGGTAGCGGAGAGGTGTGTTTTGGTTTGACACAAAACCAACTGAGTTGCCCACGCAGGCAGAGACTCACTGATGATCGCCCTGCTCTCCTCCGGCACTCCAAGAGGGAAAGAGAGGGAGTGGCGGAGAAAGGGGAGTGAGGGGGGTGGGTGGGCTCATGATGCCCAGAGTGGCCACACTGGCTCTCAGAACACTCAGGTGCGTAGCGAGTCAACTCAGGTCAACTCAGTTCAACACTGACTCAACACTGATTACATACACGGTGGTGCAAAGACGGGAATGGCGCACCACACCGCACCCCACCCACCTCGTACACGGTAGTCCATCCCAACGCTCCGCCACCCTCTCTTCCCCCCTCACCTGGTACACGGCGCTCATGATGCCCAGGGTGGCCACAGTGGCTCTCAGCATGCACGCTCAGGGGAATAGCGAGTCAAATCAGGCCACAAAATCTGACCATTTGGTGCATCCTTGCTACTCGGTAGCGTGCTGAGAGCCACCGTGGTACATGGTACATCCTCCCATTGCACCCCCCCCCCCCCCTCACCTGGTACACGGTACATCCTCCCATTGCACCCCCCCCCCCCCCTCACCTGGTACACGGTACATCCTCCCATTGCACCCCCCCCCCCCCCTCACCTGGTACACGGTACATCCTCCCATTGCACCCCCCCCCCCCCCTCACCTGGTACACGGTACATCCTCCCATTGCACCCCACCCCCCCCTCACCTGGTACACGGTACATCCTCCCATTGCACCCCACCCCCCCCTCACCTGGTACACGGTACATCCTCCCATTGCACCCCCCCCCCTCACCTGGTACACGGTACATCCTCCCATTGCACCCCACCCCCCCCTCACCTGGTACACGGTACATCCTCCCATTGCAGCCCCCCCCTCACCTGGTACACGGTACATCCTCCCATTGCACCCCACCCCCCCCTCACCTGGTACACGGTACATCCTCCCATTGCACCCCACCCCCCCCTCACCTGGTACACGGTACATCCTCCCATTGCACCCCACCCCCCCCTCACCTGGTACACGGTACATCCTCCCATTGCACCCCACCCCCCCCTCACCTGGTACACGGTACATCCTCCCATTGCACCCCACCCCCCCCTCACCTGGTACACGGCGCTCATGATGCCCAGGGTGGCCACGGTGGCTCTCAGCACGCTCAGAGCGCCCCTGCGCGCCGATGGGCGGTACGCCTGGTGGATGCATGCATGCAGGGGGGATGTGGTGGCGCGGCACAGGAGGGAGTGGATGCATGTAGGCGGAATGGCATGGCGAGTGATTTTTTAGCATTCTCAAAAATCACATGCATGCAGGCGGAATGGCATGGCGAGTGATTTTTTAGCATTCTCAAAAATCACATGCATGCAGGCGGAATGGCATGGCACAGGGAGGGGGGCAGTGGGATGCCAGCAGCAAGGTAGTTGGATTCTAAGAAATTAGGGGATTGGGAAGGAGGAGAGAAGAGAAAATGGAGGGTGATAATCAAGGGTACCGAGGGTAGGTACAGTCTACAGAGGGGATAGTGGATATTAACGGGGCTCTGTACGGGGCTCTGTAAGAGAGGCAACCCAGGTGGAGGATGGAAGGTAGACACGACACGAGGCGTGGTTGGAAGGTGAGCAACCAAGCTGCTGATCATCTTCCAAATCCTCTGGGCTTCCTTCTGACGTCGTTGGAATCTCACACATGGTCACCTGACACGTGTGGGTTGCACCTGCTGTGAGTTTCGCTTAATGTAGATTGCACATAGTGCGGGGTTTCACCTGGTGTGGGGTCGGACCCACCTGGTTGGGGTTGGAAACGATGGCGAAGATTGGGGGGGAAGAGCTTGGGCACAAGCGCAGGCAGCTGTGAACCACTCTTCAGAATTCTTAAAAGTGATTCTAATAACTGGGCTAACGGTCGGACCCACCTGGTTGGGGTTGGAAACGATGGCGAAGATGGGTGGGAAGAGCTTGGGCACAAGATCAGGCAGCTGTGCGTCATCAATCTCCTCTGCAAATAGCGACAGGCACTCCACTGCCGCTGCCACTGCTCATACGAGAGGGCGGAGGAAGGAAGGAACGGGAAGATGGTCTCAACGATTGCATAGCTATTACCCCTTGCAGTAGCCCCTCCTCCCCCCTCCCTTTTTTCCTGCTCTTTCCCCCTCACCCCTCCTCCCCGCCCCACCTCTGTTGGGGTGAGCAGTGTCGGCCAGGGCGGCCATGAGATGATCCATCAGCTCCGGCCACACCTCCGGCCAATCACAGGATGCCACGTGTGCAATCGCGAGGCCCACAGCTGACTGGACCTTGGGCTCCTCGTCCACCAGCCCCTGGAGGAGGAGAGCCCGCACCGCTGCCTGCCAGCATGGCACAGATTGGTGACGTGGCATGACGGAAATTGTGGAAGCAGAGGATTAAGGGGGCACAATGTTAATCAGATATAAGTGAAGTGGAAATCTTGTGCAGCACTGTTGCTTGCCTACCACAAAGTCTTGCTCCTTCGCACAAATTGCTTTGCATCCGCCCTCCCTCCACTTACCATCTACCAGCTCCATCAACCTCTGCAGCAGCAGCAGCAGCAGCGGTTGCACGGATGAACATGCAAAAGGCGCAAGCTAGACATCCCTCACTCTGCTCTCTCACCTTTCCCCTTTCCCCATCCCTTCTCTTCGCCCTCCCCCTTCCCCTCTCCCCTCATCCCCCTTTCCCCCTCTCCCCTCCCCCCCTCCCCCCTCCCCCAACCTCTCATACTCCAATTTACCTTGTCCTCCGGTGATACAGTGAATTTCTTTCCTCCCCCTTCTCCCTCCTCCTCCTCGTCACCCGCCTGCCAGTGCCTCTGCACCACCTGCCGCAGCAGCACTGCTGCTAGGTGCCGACCAGAGAGCACGAGAAGAATCACCAGGAATATGGGGAATATTACAGCGAACGAAGAGATGGTGGTAGAGAGAGCCGGGGGACATGGAAGGGAGAGGGGGGAACACGAGAGGAGAGGAGGAGGAGGGCCAAGCCAGGGACGCACCGGAGAAGGGAAACGAAAGGAAGTTGCAAGCACGAGGACAAGTTAAGGAAACCCTTTTGAGAAGAGTGGGTAATCATAAGAGAGGACAATTGCACACAAAGCAGACAAGTGAGGGAGCTAAACAGGAGCCTGCTGTGGGGTCAGGTCAGGTCAGATGTGCATTCGGGACAGGTTGAAGCGGACGAAGAGGAGGATATTTGTCGTGTGCCCGCGTCGAGGCCCTTGTTGCCCGCCACACCCATCAGCGCAGGAGCGTAGCCTGCACGGCGCCGCATGGTTGGTGGTGAGGGACGTGGGGAGGGCAGAAGGGGTTTAGGGATTGAGCAACGGGCGAGCTGGAGATGACAGAGGAGCTTGAGCACACGCGGGACGATGGACGAGAGGCTGGGACGTGGGACAAGGAACGTGTGATGAAGGACGTGGGATGAAATAATGAATGGACAGAGGGGATCTTCGTACATGTGCACGAGGCGTCGGGAGGCACGGGACAAAACAGGGTGTGATGTGTGACTCTCGTTTTGATAAGCCACGTGGCATTCGCACGGGATTCGAGCGACGAATCTAGTAGAGAGTGGGAGTGGAACACAGATTCGCAGAGTGCAGCGAGGCGACGACAACAACGTAACGCCGCGCAGAACAACTCATCGCCTTGTGACACAACTATCATCGCCTTGCGACACAACTATCATCGCCTTGCGACACAACTATCATCGCCTTGCGACACAACTATCATCGCCTTGTGACACAACTATCATCGCCTTGCGACACGCCTATCGTCGCCCCGCGACACACAACCTCGGAACACACGGGTCATCGACCTGCGACACATCTAGCATCGCCGCGCGACACACCTGCCATCGCTTCGGCCTGTCGCAACGCCTCTTCTGCGACAACGCGGTTGGTGTTTCCCGGATCCAGGCACTCCCTCAGGCGACACAGCAGCCACTCCTGGTCCGCCGTCTGTGACGAAGCGGCCGCCATTGTCACTTCTACTTTCGGATCTTTTCCCGAACGTCGTCACTGACTTGCACGAAACGAACGCCGTCTGCCGAAATCTTTCCTCGATTCACCTAAGCCAGAATTCACGTAGTTGTGAACCTTTGGTTGACTCGAAACGATCCCGAATTCGCATTTACTGGGCAGCTATGCGACTGTTGAGACGAATATGCTTGGGCAAATCCTTGGGTTCCTACAAGGCGTCAATTTCAAGAACGATACTGCTCAGCCTATCTAGCTCAGCAGGATGGGCTTGACTAAGAAGCAATGCGAGGCAACCGAGGTAGGGAGATGTGTTGACAGAGGCGACCAGCGGAGAATACCGATGGCGGAGTAGAGGGCACAATTCGGGACGGGACGGGACTGGACAGGAGCAAGATGGCAACAATCATGTTCCACCTGCACTGCAGGAAATCCATCCGTCTGCACGAATTCTTCTGTTGATGATGATGACAACATCCATGGATGGGGGATGGGTGCCAGACTCAGCAGTCGCTTGCGGGGTCCGTGTGTACACTCGTGAGCCAATATAACTAGTAAGATTATTCCCTTTGTGGTAATTGAAGTTTTCAACTAGCTACTAAGAATGTCTCCTGTTTTCTGTTGGAACTACTATTTTAACCCTACATGAATATTTCCGTATTCTCCCGGATAAAACACCCTAGGATATTATGAAAACCACTGGGAAAAAATGGGGGGGGTCTCCTCGAAGGAAAATCCTACATAATACCCGGGTCTTATTATATGGTATATTTTTTATCAAGTAGAAAAGATGTGAAACAAAATCAGGGGCCTGACTCCACTTCAAGAATGTTGACCAGTGCCGCAAAACCGAGTATACGAGGATAGCGTGACCGCCCACTGGAATCTGCCACGTGGCAAATTCGAGTGGGCAATTCTGGCACTTGATAGGGTGAAAACAAAGCCAATTGCGTGGCGAGGGTTCATGCAACCGCCGAGGCCAGAATCGCGCACAGTGGTGCGTTCTTACTGTACCAGTCACTTCTTGACTGGTTTGGTCACGTGTCTGTGCCTCATGTGAGAAGGTGAGGGCGTATCTTTGGTTCGGGTCATAAGGCTACTTTGGGTCATACGCGTTTTCCGCATGACCCAAACAGCACAAAACGCCACCTATTCCGCGCTTCAGAAGGCCACTTTGGGTCATGCGCGATTTCTGCCTGCATGACCCAAACAGTAAGATGAACAGTGCCATGACTCAAACCAAAGATACGCCCTGATTTTCACCTATTGGGCCACTTGCAGCGGAAGATTCGCCAGCGTGGCGACAGCGAGATTGTGGGAGGGGGGAAATCTTGGCAGATTCTAAGTGAAAGTAAACGCGAAATTTCACCTAGGGAGCAATTCTCGCGATATCTTCCCGTAAGGAATCGGACTCGATAACAGCTATAATACGAATCTATAAGAAAAGGGGGGTGTTATAGAAAATCACCCCAAAAGGGGGGGTATAGTACAAACGGGGTCGGATATAACACCCACCCCGTATTAGCTACCCGGGGGTGTACAATTACGGGGGGGTGTTTTATCCGGGAGAATACGGTTCTCGTAAGCAGATATGAGGGCTTTTGATTGGATGAAGAGGGAACTGACCAAACCAGAAAAATGCGGAATGCGGTGCAGGCTTTGAAATGAGATACTGCAAAAAATGGCATGTACATTTTTTTACATTTCAAAGTATCAGACATACGGCAGGAGTTGTTCATTATGACATCCAAAATTGGTAGACATGCTTCCCATTGCAGAGCACCACACAACAAGCAGCATTCATCTGACATGAAGTTTATGGAGAAGCTCAATAAGATTACATTATTGATAATCAAACAGGCGGGATGCCTTTTGTCCGAAAGAGCACCTTACTCTGAACACCATGTGATCCCAAACCCATCCTTCTACAAGGAATCTAAGGAACTGGAAAAAAGGCTGGAAGGCTGGTCTAACACTCTTTTGGAAGCAGAGGAATGGCGCTGTTCTCCCTGTTTCTAGCTAGGTAAGCGGGGAGTAAGAATTGTTCCATTAAGGCAATCAGCTCAAATCTGCGTCACCGTGCATGTGTCGTTGATGTACTGCAGCGCCAGGGGGTTAATGTTCACAATACACTCCATCAAATGGGTGTACTGAGGCGACACAACCTTCCAGATCACATCCACGTGCGCGCGCAGCGTGGCATTCAGCCTGAGCGGAACGTACTGCTCCGCCATGTCGGAGCGCAGCGCCATACCGCCACCGTAGAGAGGGAATGCCATGGTGGAGGCGGACCCGTTGAAACTGTTCCACTCCAGCTGGTTCTGCTTGAACTTGGGAAACTGCGGAAGGGGGCGATGGCAAGGGGGCAGCCGATACGGGAACCGATAAGGTGGAATGCCCATAGCGAAGGGATACGGAAGCGGAGATACACGCGGGAATCCAGGAACGTCATGCTTTGGGCGAGCGGCAATGAACGGAATGGAAGATTTAATGCAAAGATATGTTACGTCTATGTGTGAGCGGGGAAGATCACTCACGCGGCCCTTCATCATGGTCTTGATGGAGCTGTAGCCGATGCTCACGTCGCCGCCGTCGAACCACGAGACGTAGCGCGTGTTGGGGTTGCGGATGGAGAAGATGAGCGTGAGGTTGGCGTACAGCTGGTCCGTGGGCAGCCCGTTGCCGTCCAGCATGTCGGGAAACGTCTGAAACTCGTTCACCATCGCGTACTGCGGACGGGAGAGGGGGGATGGCACACGCATGAGGGGCAGAGGGAAAGGAACGTGAAGGGCAGCGAGAGTGAGGCAGTGTACTTGAGAACAAGGGGACTGGGGCGGGGCCAAAGGAGAGGCGGCGGTACTTGAGAACGGGCCAGCGACTAGGGGGAGCAGCATGGGAACGATTTGGAGCGAACAGATTTCCTGGTCTCCGACGTACGTCCATGGTGTATGTGGGCGGTGTAGGCTGGTACACGACCCACGCGATAATGCATCCCGCGACGAAGAGCGCCGCGATGACCAGCAGCGACCACAAGCAGAAGCACTGCTTAAAGCGCTTCTTGCGGAATTTCTCCCTTTGGATGTCCGGATAAAACTCATCCTCGTGATCCGAATCGTCGAACACCGCCTCTTCGCCGAACTTTCCTCCCATCTCCGCGTATCCCTCCGGGTGCTGCGGCGACGACGGTGCCGAGGATTCCGGCGACTCGTTCACGCGCGAGGTGCGAATAGAATGCGCGGGAGTCTGCACGAAGTAGGTTTCCGTGGGGCGATAGAGATGGCTACCGTGGATCGACCCGCTGGACATCAAGTACGGGTCGTATGCGCTTGGAGTCTCGACTGTGTAGCCTGGGTTCTCGTATTGTGGCGCGTAGTAAGGGGACTGAGAGGCGTTGCGGTGGCTGCGCAGGGGGGATGCGGTCGGGGAGCCTTGATCGCTGCCATCCCCGCCGTCTCCGCCGTTCTTGTAGGCCCACGAGGGAGTGCGGTTGAAGGATTTGTTCGACGGTCCCCCGTAGAGAGGGTTGCGCCCACTCGGTGGAATGTTGCTTCGGTCTGACATGCTGTCTACGCTTGGGGGTCGACAATGCTAGAGTCTGGCTGAATTGGGGCGGATTGGTCTATCGAGGAAGTCACTTGAGAAATGCGTGAGAGACACCAGTCATGAGAATGACGTTTGAGACGCGTGTGCAGTCGTAATTCTAGAGCTGGAATGTGGGAGAGAAAGGGCAGAGTTGGATCCCAAGTCGGGTGGAGCCAGGCAGGCAGGACGCAGAATGCAGAAGGGGCTGAATCGGGAGAGCACGCGGTCTCGCATCGCGCAGTGTGGTGTCGCTGCGAGCTGTGGACAGATGGAGGACACTGCAGATAATCGACGGCCAGCATGGGCGGTTTAGGTTTTGGATTGATTGGAACTCGATGTAGTCAAGGTGAAGCCCCTTTTAGCAGGTGTTACATCCCATACAAGAACTTTTGCGCACAAGTCGTCTTCCCACGCGCCTTGGTTAGAAGCCCTGGGCTGGGCTGGTCTGGTCTGGTCTGGCCTGGGACCAAATGGTCATTCAGCGGTTCGTGAGAAAAAAGGTATCGTTACTAGAACAGGTTCGGAACCCTCGACCTCGCTTAGCAGAAATTTATGTTACATCGTACGTGAGTTACTTGTGCATAATGTAGTGCGTAAAGCGCATTTGCATACAACGAGAATAATATGTGTTAGTGCCATGATAGTTATAAGTTGTGGAAGGAAAGAGTGCGCAGAACTCAATAGTGCGGAAGTGATTACAACGTCTGAATGAACAACGAGGCCTATGCATAATATAGCAAGGTTAGCTAGGCCAAGGTCGCGGGGTCGCGGGATGGTTGGGTGTAGGTTCGGGGTTGGAAAACCCGAAAGCGACGCGGTGGTGGCTCGGAAGGCGAGGTCGGCGGGCCGAGCCTGGTTTTCCGAAAGTCGGAGTTGTACGCGTACAATGTGACCCAGTAAGGAATCCGGAAAATTCCTTACACTACCCCCCCCTTTAAGAAAGGTGGTGCATATCCGAAACACCTCGGCGGGCGAGGAAAGCGTCCAAAACCGTGTGTCCCAAAAGTGAGTCAGCAGCGACATACGTGCCGTCCTCGCTCGTGCGGTCTTTCCAGCGAAGCAGCAATTTCACCGAGCGGCCGGCAGCAGTCACGTCCACGCGATGGTTGAGAATTTTCCAGGGTTCCAGCGTAGGCTCTGCCACGGGGCGTGTGGTCGGCGCGAGGGTCGGTCGAGCAACAGCTGGCGACTCCGGCTGTTCGTAGTGACGCAACAGGCTGACGTGGAAGGCGTCATGTATCTTCCAATCGTCGGGCAGCAGCAGCTTCGCGGTGACAAGTGTCACCATTTGGATGATCCGAAAAGGTCCCACGTAGCGGGGCCGTAATTTCGCGGGCTGCGGCAGCCGAAGGTTCTTGGTGTCCAGAAGTACAACCTGCCCCGGGCGGAAGGGTAAATTCCGTCGGTGTTTGTCCGCCTGA